TTTAGGTCGGTACAGGTTTTCACCTTCATCTTTGGGGACCCATCTAAGAAATCCACAAACATTTGGCTTTTTAAGTTAATGGACTCTTACAAAATTTGTGGTTTAGTTAAATTTGGGTATCTGTTTCACACTTAAATCACATCACATCTTTTTAATGTGCATTGAGAAGTTAATGCCATTTTTTTGAAACATGACATAATAATGAAGTAATTTTTTTAGAAGAGAAAAATAGGTCTCATATTTATTTGGACACTATACAAACAGGAGATTTAGGTAATATTTGTAGAGATGTATTGTTGAGTTGTTGAAATGGTCATGTTTTATTAAGAGAACTTGCTACAGGAAGCTTCTACTACCACAGGCTTGATTCATAAACCTGGTTTGGGGTGTGGTTTTAAAGAATATTGCTTGAGTTTTGTATCATACCAGCTAAACTTTAGCTCTACTTTTGATTAATGTTTGTATCAGGAAGCAAAATTTGTGGTATCAACAGACAAAATTCTAAAGTAGGTCACGAATCAACATGTTATTAGATTATAAACAAGTTACAGTTTTAATTTATAAATTATAGAGAATTTATAATTTTACTTTTTACCTTAAGGTTTTTTGTTGTCCTTTGATAATTAGCAATAATTAAATCAAGTTAAAAGAATTTCCCTCCTTTGTGTGATGTCAATACATAGGAAAGTAATTTTTTGCTCATGTGTTTGTCCTTTGAAATAACTTGTATTTTATCTTCCTTCTTACATGTAGGTCGAGCTATAGTATTAGACACCAAATTCATAAAAAGATAAAAAGAATACTTCAGCTTTCTAATTATAAAAAGAATGTGTTTTCATGAAGGATATTTTACAATATACAAAAGAAAATGTGAAAACCATTGTGCTTAAAACATCTCAGAAGCCATCATATGCTGTAGCTTTGATTTTGTTTTGGTCCCACTCTAAGTACAATTGGACATACAATTTTTTTCTAGCGTTAGTGTTGTATGAAGGCTACTTGTTTGTTCTTGGCTGACCAGAACCAAAATAATCGCACAGAAACTGTATTAATTAAATCACTGCTTGACCTTATTAGCTTATGCATATTTCTAGCTCACTCTTACTTCTTAAATTAACCCATTTCTATTACTTCATATTTTACTCAGAGGTTCATGGCCTACCGGCAAGGTTTCACCTTACGGCTTTCATCTTTCTCTTCTGGTGGTTTCATGGCGTCTTCCGACTTGGCCTTCTTCCTCCCAGCATTCAGTTTAGTTTCCCTCACCTACCTGCCCCGCTATAGACCCAAAGCAGCTTCTTTATTCATTAACCAATAAAAACAACACATAGACAGAAGGACTTCCCACAGCACTTTAGTTTAAGTAATATTTTGGTGAATATAAAACTTATGGTGCTTCTGGTTGTCTATTTCCCAAAGTGAAATTATGGGGTCAAAGGATCTGTATATTCTCAGATTATTTATGTGTCTGAGTCCCTTCTCTCCCTTTAAAAGTCAGAGTCTGGTGTAACCCAGGCTAGCCTTGAACTTAGTATGTACTGAGGGAGGATGCCTTTTATTACTTTTAACCCTCCTGCCTTCACTTCCTGAGCGAGTGTTAGAATTACAAACAGGCACTATCATGCTTGGCTTATTTGGTGTGTCATCAAACTAGGGCTCCATGTTTCATAGGCAAGTGCTACCAACTGAGCCACGGGTTTTCCTTTAAGAAGAGCAAATTCCTGGCTGGGGCTGTAACTCAGTTACTAGAGCACTTAGTAAGTAAGCGAGTAAGTGTGGCAGCCAGAACTTGAGGCAGCTGGTTCCATTGAAAGCTCTTTGCTCAACTACCCGTTTCTTTTGCATGCAGTCCAGGACCCCAGCCTAAGGGATGATGCTGCTCACATCATAGTGGGTCTTGGCACCTAAGTCACCCAAATGTCCAGAATCCCTCATAGGAACATCCAGACTCACTTCCTGGTGAGTCTGTATCCTGTGAGAAAGACAGTTAGTGCTATCCATCATGGACACATAGGACTTTCTCTATGCTTCTGTTTTTCCTTTAGATTTTTGTTAAGAAGGTCATGCTGGCTTTGTGGAATCTCTTTGGAAGAGTTTGAGAAGAAAAGGTGTTAACCCAGTCATGATTTGATAGAACCAGTGAAGCCAGTTTGGTTTTTCTTTGTGAGTAGTTTTTGGTTATCGAGTCAGTGTATTTATCTGTTTAGATTCCTTTCATATTTAAGTCTATGTGTGTAGAAGTTTGTCCAGTTTTTTTGTCTGGTTTGTGGTGGTTGTGGTAATATCTTACAGTTCCGTGTCTGTGGCTTCAGTTCAATTGTCTCCTATTTCTGATTTGATTTATCTGAATCTGCTTCATAGAATTGGACATAAATTCATTTGATTTTTTTTTTTAAGGCTTACCTTTGTTGATTTTGGGGGTGGGTCTTATTTCTGGTTGATGTTTATTTCCTTCCTTCAGCAGACTACAGACTTGGTTATTTTTCTTTCTGGTTCTTGGAGGTTTCTTAATTTTCCTTTTTCAGAGCTTGATGTTGGACCCAAGACTGTGAGTGCATCAAGCAAGTGCCCTTCAGAGAGCTGCACTCTGGGTGTGGTAGTTTTTATTGTGGGTATTTTAGTACCTCTCTAAAATGTCTATTCCTTTACATTTGATGTGCTTTTGTTTCTCTCAAAATACTTGATCATTTCCTTCTTGATTTGGTCTTTAGCTCTATGGTTATCTAGTAATGTATTGTTAAATTTGCACATTAGTAAATTTCTGTTTTTATTCTAATGTGGTTGGAAAGCATACTTCAGACTTAAATTTGTTAAAGCTTGTTTTATGATCTAACATGTGACTTGTTCTACAGACTTTTCAGTGTATTTGAGAAGAGTGTACATTCTGTGACTGTGAATGAAATATTTTTTGTGTTTGGTCTGTAATGTAAGTTTGCTTTTATTTTTCATCAGCATGAACTGTCCATTATAGAAACCTTTTGTTTTGTTTCTCTTCACGCTGCTTTTTTTATTTGGATGCTTTGTTGGTGGGAGTGTACATCGTGATTGCTGTAGCTTTTGAGTGAAGTGACACTTCCATGTTATGTATAATGTTTATCTTTGTAAGTATGGCCCTGTGTGCCTGGTTTTGGTTGTCACTTCCCCTTTGTGGAATATGTCTCTCTGTCCTTTTTAGTTCTAGCCCATATATACTTTTAAATCTAAAGTGAGGCTTAAGATATTACATGGTTGGATCTTCCCTATTTTGAATTCATTCAGCTGTTCTCTGTCTCTCATTCTAGGACAGCTACTCTTACACGTGATATACTCGTACACTCTTAGGTTCGTGTAATCCCTTGTTTTCCAGTTCACTAGCTTCTTTCTCCTTGCCAGTTTCATCTGCATTTATTTTGTTCTCTTTATGTTATTTTGCTTTCACTGTTTTCACATTTCTTTCTGTGTATCCATAGAAATATCTGTTATTGTCATACATAGTAAATAAAATGTGGCCGTCTCTCTAGGCTGGAAACTTGAATTACGTGCAGGAATTCGAGTCATTTGCTCTCCTCCTGCTTTACATTACTGATGTCACATCTTACGTTTATTTATTTATATTATATGCCCATTAGGATTTTTGTGTAGTTTTTAAAAAATATATGGTTCAGTTTCTGTAGAGAATTAAAAGTGATTTATCTTACTTATAGATTTTTTCTGTCTTTTCTTTTATTAAAAAGAGATTTTTTTATATAATATATTTTGAATCTGATTTCCGTCCTCTGAGATTTCCCATACCTTCCTATTGGAATCCACACCCTTTCTGCTCGCAGGCATCTACATAATAATAATAATATAATAATAATAGCAAAAACAAATAGAACAGGACAAACAGAAGAAATTAATAGCCCAGGAAAAAAAAACACAGCTTACACTAAGATGCAGAGACACATTTTTTTTAAAGATTTATTTATTTATTATGTATACAACATTCTGCTTCCATGTATGCCCGCACGCCACAGGAGGGTGCCAGATCCCATTACAGATGGTTCTGAGCCACCATGTGGTTGTTGGGAATTGAACTCAGGACCTCTGGAAGAGCAGCCAGTGCTCTTAACCACTGAGCCATCTCTCCAGCCCCTCAGAGACACATTTTTGTTCACACAAGAATTCCCTAAAAACACAAAACCAGAAGCCAGAATACACACACACACACACACACACACACACACACACACACACAGCCTTGTCAAAACCTTATGAGACAGAGACCCTTCAAAATGCTATTGAGTTCATTCTGTATTGGCCATCTCCTGCTAGGTATGGGACTTGCCCTTATGTCCCCAGACTCCATTGGAGAGAACTGATTTGTCATTTTTGAGTGGTTATCAACTGAACCATAGCTTCTGGGTTTGGGGTGGAGGCTTCTGTACATTTCTCCTCTCCGCTCTGGCACCCCATCTGGTGAAGACTTGTGCAGACCCTGTGCCTGCTACCATGGCCTCTGTGAGGTCATATGTCCATCGGCCACTGTGTTTAAAAGGCCTTGTTTGCTTGGTGTTCTTCATCCACTCTGCCTCGGACAGGGTTCCCTGAGCCCTGAGGGGAGGGGTTTCCATGGAGACATTTCGTTTAGGACTGAGAATTCTAAAGTCTTTTGCTTTTTCTTCACATTGTCTGCCTATGGTTCTCTGTATTTCTTTTCATTTGCTACAGCAGGAAACTTCTCTGATGATGGCTAAACAAGACACTGATCTATGAGTATATGAGTAGAACATTGATAAAAATCATTTTATGGGTATATTCCTTTAGCAAAAGAATAGTATTTGGTTTTCCCCTAGGCTCCTGGCCTTATTTGTAGCTTTAAAACTATTTTTTTTATGGAATCAGTTTATAGAATTTCAATTTTATTGTTCATTTTTATAACAAAGTTCTAAATCTTCTATGTTTAAGAATTAATTTAAATGTTTTTGTGTTAAAACCGTATGTAAGTTGAATAGAGTAACGTTTCTTTCTTGTTTAAATAGGGTTCTGATAGTCGGTCATACAGAGGAAGGCCTTGAACACGTGGATTTTGGAGAATCTGTTCTAAAAGTGTAAAAAGTGCAAAAGGTAAAGGCATCTTATAATGTTCTATTGTATTGATTTTTCCCAGAAAAAAAAATGTGTAAAAGGACTTAGAAATTACATGGCATGCTCATTTGAGGAAAGCATTATTTAAAAAATTTTGCTTTTGTGTTAAGTCCAACTCAGACAATAGTTACTGTTTATGTATTACTTTAATTAATGATTACATGATGGTTAATAAGACTACAGCTATCTCTGTCTCATGAAGATTGCATTTTAAAGGAAGACAAGCAGTAAACAAACTATTAGTGGTACCAAAAGAATTAAAATGGACAGTAGACTGGGGTGGCTTTCATAGCATTAGCCAGAGACAGCTGTGTTGAAAATGTGTTGTGAATGAAATGGCAGGTGCTAAGCCATGTGTGACTCTGAAAGAGAAAAAGAAACTACATTGGCAGGAGGAAAAGAATGACTGGGTGCTTAAAGAACAGAGTGTAAATGTGGCTGGAGTGTGCCCTAGATACTGCAGAGCAGACATGAAGATCAGCCTGCACAAAAAGGAACTGAGGAGTAAAGCAGATGGCGAGAGAACAGTCAGGTGCTCTGATTGAACTCTGTGCTATTCTGGACACCTCAGAAACCTATAGAAGAGTGTGGTGCTGGGGAGTCAGCTCACTGGGCAGAGTGCTGGCTGTGCAAGCATGAGGGCTAGCCTGAGCTCACAACCCTAGCTCTCACATAGAAACAGACAGACAAGCAAACAAAAAACTTGTGCCATTGTATACCTGTAAGCCCAGCACTTGTGGGTGGAGACAGGTGATTCCCCAGAACTCCCTGGCCAGATTAGCTAAATTGGTGAGCTTCAAGTTAAGTCAATCTCTGTTTCAAAATGTTAGATAGAGAACAATAGAAGAAAACATGGTGTCAAACTCTGGTTTACACATGCACTTACATGTGCATATACATAACATACACTACATACTATGCACCCACACAAACTGTAGCAAATGCCTTTTGGGGAGGCAGGGAAAGGATCCAAAATTTGAGGTCAGCCTGGGCCCTGTGATAATTTGTCAGGAGACAGCGGAGTCGGGGCGGGGGGGGAGTCTATATTTAAGGCTTCGAAGTTGGAAATAATAGAGTAAGAAAATGTATTTAGGAGTTATTGGCATAAAGAAGTGCTTGAGTGTTTTGCATTCAGTTACCTAGGAAATGTATTCAGCCATAGTACGCAATGATAATTGTCATAGGAAGTGTATTCAGCTCTAGTTCACACTGATAGTTATCATAGGAAATGTATTTAGCCCTAGTTCACACTGATAGTTATAGGAGCAGCGATGTCATTAAAATGAATACAAAAGCTGGAAATGTTCTGCAGTAGAGAAGAAGAAATGATTAAGTCAGTACAGAAATGATGGCTACGTCACATCCACCAAGGGATCGTCTAGAGAATCAAGGAAGCAGCCTCTGCATATAGCAGTACAGTGTTTGTGAATTCAGATAAGCGGTCCAGTGGAGGCTCCAGGAGTCCAACAATAAGAGTGACGAGAAAGAGTAAGGACATCTAGACTGCAATGGCAAACAGCTCAGCTGAATTTCACGCCTTGAAATCTCCTTAGAGCCAGTGTGTTAGCTCCCTTGTCCCTGTGGTGCAGTGCCCAGCATAAGTTACTGTAAGACAGACTTCTTGATTATTATTTTGGATTCTGGGTTCAGTAGACCATGGTTATTTGCTTTTGGGTGTCTGGGCTCATTGTGAAGTTGACCATTAAGGCTGCAGGAACATGAAGCAGAAGAGAAGGCAGTACACAGGAAGAGGCCAGGGCAAGACAGCCTAGGATCTGGCTGCCATTGACCTGCTTCTGCTCACTAGGCCTCACCTCCTACCTTTTACCACCTGTCAATAATACCTTCGTATCATGAGTCAGTCAGAGCATCAATCTGCTCATTATGTTAGAACGCTTAGGATATATTTGACTCTGGAACTATCCTGGAGACACACCCAGAGGTTTACTTCATTAATCTCTTAGATTAGTGGCTCTAAACCTGTGGTCACAACCCCTTTGGGGGGTCTAATGACTCTTTGACAGGGTCACCTAAGACCATCGAAAAATACCGATATTTACATTATGTTTTATAACAGTAGCAAAATTACAGTTACGAAGTAGCAAAGAAAATAATTTTATTGTTGGGTGTCCCCAAAACCATGAGGAACTATACTACAGGTTGCAGAATTAGGAAGGTTGAGATCCACTGTCTTTGATGTTTCTTAATCCGGTAAAGTTGACCAAGATTAACCAGTCACAGCTAAATACAGAAAAATAGTTTTGCAATTGATACAAATTCACAAGGACAGAGAGAATGGGAGAGAAAAAAAAATGGACCTCAGAAAGCTAAAGGAAGTGTGGTAAATTTCTTATACTAGCAGTGGAGGTCTGAGGAACTTCTTGTCACCAGAGAGCCTCTGAAATCGCCATGAATTTCAGAACCCTCTTTTATTTCTGAAGTGAAAGCGATGGTGGTATTAAACAGAGTGATTTGTTGCACATATACTGAAGAGATTTCTTTCTTCTGACTCTGAAATGTGTGTTATTCCTGATATTCCCAGAAGTCTGATTATTCTTTAGTAAGTGTAAAATAAGTAAAAGCTAAATGGAAGGGTTGATAAATAAAAGCAATATGTGAAGAGTAGAGAGAAAAGTTAAAAATTGAATAAAGTGATTAAACTGTCTTTTATCCTTCATATTCAAGTAAGATTTCCAAAAAATCAAGGAAACAAAAAGTAACTAGAGAATGATGTGAGAAACCTTGCTTGACTGACATAAAGTATCGCCTACAGAGTGACTGCTACAGCTAGAAAAATAAATAGAAAATGGTTACATTAGCATTAACTTTTAGAACAGAAGGTTGCTTTCAGGGAGAAAGAAGTCGGTTACATAAGAAAGGATTAATAATCAGAGCAGTATTGGACTTGAGATATCATTTCTCTTTCAATAAGCAAAAATTAAATAAATAAATTAAGTAAATAAAAAATGGTGACATCATGATGTGTTGGTCAGCATTCGGCCACCTTGACAAAACACCCAAAATAAACACCTTTTTTAAAAAAGGAGGATGGGTTAGCTTGACTCATTGTTTCAGAGGATTCGGTCTCCAGCCACTTGATGTCATTGCTGTGATGAGCCTGACGTCATGTGCTCAAGCTGCTCACTTTGTACTCAGAAAAGATACTAGGGTGCTGCTAACTTCATTCCTCCAACATTTTACCTTCTGACATAGCTAGGAACTAAGCCTTCATCACATGAGATTTGGCTGCAAGGCGCCATTTGAAATCAAACCATGTCACCTAGGGTGAGAAAACAGAGACCCTAGTTTCTGAAAACAGAGACCTAGGGAATCATCAGGGTGATACTGAATACTGATCCCAAGATGACAGCACTGTTCTTGGGTACAGATAACAGATATTTGAGAATAGATTAGCAAGTTCTGGAGGAAACAGTTGGAAAATGGTGAGAAGTTAATGTATATGAAGGTAAAGAAAGTATATTTAGATAGTCATGAGTCTGTAGTAAATCAGCAACAAGTATGTGCAAAACCAGATAAGCGGTAAAGGAGAAAAGCTTTCCTCCTTCTGTGATAAACACTGTGACCAAGGCAACTGTGAAAGAAAGCATTTTATTGGGTTTACAGTTCCAACGTGTTAAGAGTTCATGGTGGCTGCAGGAATAGCTGAGAACTCACATCTCAAACCACATTCGGGAGTAGGGAATGGCAGGAAGCTTTTAAGACACGAAGCCTGACCCTCCCTATGATAAAACCCCCAAGGCCACATCCTTCCCAAATAGTTCTACCAACTGGGGACCAAGTATTCAAATACATGAGCCAGTGGTAAACAAACAATCTCTTTCAGACTTCTGGAGCAGCTAACTACAGGGAAAACTACTCAGAAGGGGAAATTTAATGTGGACTAGAAGACTGAGGCTTAGCTGTGAATCACATTTACAGTTGTAAATATGAACTTAGCAGTTGGGAGGGGTGTATGTTTTTAATGTCAAAAAGAAAAAAAAGGTGAAAAAGATTGCTCAGCAATTGTCTCAGTTGGGTTATCTATTGATATGATTAAAATCATGACCTGCATAAACTTGGAGAGGAGAGGATTTATTTCAGTATCACACTCCGCTACTGAGCGACGTCAAGGTAGGAACCTGGAGTAAGAACTGAAGCAGAGGCGGTAGAGGAATGCTGTTTCCTGGCTTGTTCGTCGGGGCTTGCTCAGACTGCTTTCTTACACACCACCTGCCCAAGGGTGGCATTGGCTGTGTTATCCCACAGTCTCTAAATAAGAAAATATCCCCGTAGGCTGACATAAGGCCAGTCTTAGAGTGGCATTTTCTCAATTATGGTTCCTTCCTGTAGCTCCTGTGTAGTTGACCAAAAAAGCAAAAACAAAAACCAGCCAAGAAAGTGATTAAGATTTTTGCCTGCTCTTCCAGAGGATTCAGGTTTATTCAGTAGCTAACTTTGATTGGTGGCTTACAGGCACCTGCAACTATAGACCCAGGGGATTTTATGCCCCGTTTTAGCCTCTGAGGGCACTTCACTAGTGTGGTGCACATATGTGCATATATACAAGCAGGCAAAACACCCATTCACAGAAAAATAAATGAATTAAAGTTTTAAAAAAATACCCCTGCTCCCTAAAAACAGTGCTTTTCAGTAGAATTAAGTAGAAGATGCCTAAAAATCTAGACACTTTTGAGAACCAAAGAGGCTAATTTAAATACATTGGGACAATTATGACTATCTAGGCACTCTATCTGAAAATGAAGGAATCAAAATTAACAGAAGACGTTCGCAGTAGCAGGTTTGTTACTGAAAGGAAGTGGAAACTGGGTCAGAACAAAGGGCTTCTGATTTTATAGTAAATTTCTTACAACCACTCAACTGTGTAAAGTTCATCCCCGTGTGTGCATGTGGGAAAAAAAACTAAATTGTAAAATAAAAGAATGAACCGGACATTGAGATCACAGTTGTTTTCCTGGGGAAAGGGACAAAAAAATTAATGACAATAGCTGAAGAAGGTTGATCGACCAAGAGAAGTGAGGTTTTATTTTATTGGTCTCTTAAAGTTCAGAAGTACGGTGCTAATATTGATCAATGGCAGCAGTTGGAAAGGAAAGCCTGTGGTGGGTGACAGCAGATGGGATTCAGAAAGACAGTAGTGTAATGCCAGTAATAATACACTGCACGGTTTATTTTTAAAACAGAATCCTTTTTATGTGAAGGATTCTATTCCAAAGATGGACTGCCAGACACTGAGATCGTCTCTAATTCTGTGCACTGCTCTGTACTGAAGTAGGAGTTGCTTCTGTGTTTACCCCATTTAAATTGTTCATAGTTTTTTTCATTTAATGCTGCCTGCCCATTCCCTGGTAAGCTTGCATTTAAAGCTGGTTTTAAAGTAGTATTTACACACAAGTACTTGTGCCCTCAGTACCCTGTCATCATGAAATAGTAACACGATACATGCTCACCTGCTAAATCTGTGATTTAGAGTTCAAGGAGCTTATGGAAAGGAACATTTAATTCCTAGCTTAACTTGATCTTTTTGCATTTTGGTGAATTGTGCATTTAAGTAATTGCAACTGATCCTTTTGAAGACACATTGCCTATCATTCTGGGCTATTAATGTCAATACTTTATAAAAATAAATAAATGTTATTTTATATGAGTAGACTGTGTACTTGGAATTTCTCTTGAGCTTGTGTAGGGAAATGTTATGATGTCTAAAATGCAACCTTTCTGATGAGCAACTGTGACTCTAACTTGTCATTAAAACCCTGGGTTATTGGGTGGGTTTTGTGTTTGTGTGTGTCTGTTTCTTTATTACCACAGCATTCTGTTGCTTTGACACTCTTCAAAAAGATTTGTTCTGGAGGTAATTTAATCCTACTTATTTTATTCCCTTCATTTTTCTCTTAAATAAAATATATTTGTCAGTTGGCTGGAAAAGTAGAATAAAGATTGTGAGCTTCCCTTGAGTGTGTGGTCTTGAGTGTGTAGCTATGAGTAAGCATAGGCTGAGCAAATTTTTTGAAAATTATTGTTGATGGTAACAGAGGATAGCTTAATAGAAGGTTGATCTTCTAAGCCATTGTGCTTACTCATTTTGTACATAGACAGCAGTGTCCTTCCTGATAGGTTTGTCATAAACCCCACCCCGTTGTTTGTCCCGTTTTCTCCTTTTTGACAGTTAAGCATGCTAATGGCTTACTAAATGAATGACATATAAGACAGAGATTTGGCCCCTTAGTTTTGAAACTATATTTTATATGCGTTTTCCGCTGTCCTTTTTATTTTAGTAATAGAACCAGCATCTGTTATTACCATTGCCCTTTCTTGGGATCTAGAAGGTGGACGTAGGTAAACCTGAGTAGTCTGAAGCTGTGTTCCCTCTTGTGGTACTAACCCAGACACTTGGAGTCACAGTGTTCTTTATGCTGTTGATCACCTCTGATCATTATCTTGTAAGAATTCAGTCTTCTCAGTCTCATTTTGTTACCTAACCATATAGACAGTGCAGTGACAGTGCGGTGTCGTTTTCAAGGGCTGTCTCTCCTCCTCTTTTGGAGCTACATCTGAAAACAATGATAGAATGTTTTAGACTCTCCTGTTAACCAACATACCTTTAAATACCTGTGGTTTAGATAGAATTACATGCTAATTTATATTATTTTATAAATTCTAAATAAAGGAAACAACAATATAAATTTCTTAAACCTCAAAAATTAGGATGTTAATAAATCAGATCATTTGTTAATCAGTAACTCACGGCTTGAGATAAAACTGCTTTATAAAGGAATTTTAGGCTGTGACTCAGTTTGAAAGCAGTGCGTTTTAAGATTTAATTACTTAAAGGTGTGAAACACTTCAAGATACTTATTTTCTCTGCTTGATTTGTCTTCTCCTGAACTTTCCTGAAGCCCCTTTAGGTGCTAGTGATTAAGACTCTAAACTATGACATGCCTATGAAGAAAATGAGCTCTAGATTTTCTCAAGTGCGGTGTTGTAGCTCATGCCTGTGCGGTGTCAGACCATCTCTCTGCTCTTTAGAGCCCTCCCAGCCGTCATCTCTTTGTGTCCTGTGGTCTGTTGCTTCTTAGACTTGAGCAGTCACAGCAGTCAGTGAGGATCCTGGTAGAAATGTGGGTTTTCAGATGATGAGGATGCTTCCTGCCTCTGCACCATATTTTCAGTAACAAGTCTTGCCCCATGACAGGACTTGTTACCTCAGGCTTCCCTCTGTAATTCTCACAGATACTCTTGATTGATTCTGGTCTCGGTGATGCCGCTGGACAATATAGGCTTCACAGTGTATCTTATTAGAGTTGCTTAGATACCTGTCTCCTTGCTCATTACAGATTTTTACCTGTAGAGCTTAGCCTCTCATCTTTATTGGTACTAGGCCTACCTTGCTGTTTAACAGAAAATAGAATCTCAACAAGTATTTATTAAATAGTATTATTGCAGCCAGTTTATAGTTATGCAAAGTGTATACTGGATATTAAAAATGACATTTCTGTTATTTTAGAGAAAGACATTAAATGTGAGTTTGAATCTTTTCCACATTCGTTTTAGAAGAAAAAAATCTCAAATATTCTCCATCCAAAGATAATTTGCTCAAAAATAATGCACTAGCTTCATTTTGAAGTCTGCACAGTAACTTACAGTAGTCTCGAGATTACTTTGTAGAAGTGCTTTAGAAAATTCATAACCATTTCTTTTTTCTCCCAAGGAGAAATACAAATGTCTACCGCAAGACGAAAACGCAATGTGTTATGTTGTTTACCGTAAGCTGTAGTAAGATGAGCTCAATTGTTGACAGGTATGTTTTTTAAATTCACTATTAGAGTAATGTTCTTAAGTGTTAGTGCTTAATCATAATTGCCATTATATTCAGTTTCTACATAGAACAAATAAATAGTAAGAAAGTATGTTAGTAGTTTTAAAAGCCAAAGTGGATTGCTTAGGACTTATGTCACAAATGAGTCCTTATTCTTAATTTTGGGAATTTTGGTCAACCGAAGAAACAATAATGCTTGTAGATGATTCCCTGGCCCCTTTTAGACTCTAGGATCAAGTCTATTGGTGCCACCTCTATCCCTGCAAGCATCTTAGCACTTGTGACTGGTAAGACATAGTTGTTACTAGGATCATTAGTTCATTAGTTAGTTTTTAATCTTTGTATATAAGTCTTTGAGAAAATATAAACTTGTTTGTTTATTTCTTTGACTGTAAAACTGCTGGTTGGTTTTTTTTGTTTGTTTGTTTTTGGTGCTGGAATTGTCAACCAAGGCCTAATGTGTACTAGTCAAAGAGCCTTACCACTGAGCTACCTCTCCAGCCTTGTTTCTAAGACTCTTTGTTATGTTGTTGTTTTCATTCTAACACCTCTAACATTTGACGTGTCTTAAAATTCACTTCTCAGACTTCATTTGGTAGCTTCTTTTCTTCTTTCTTTACTTCCTTTCCCCTACTTCCCCTTCTTTCTCCTTCCCCCTTTTTCCCTTCCCTTTCTTTCCCTCCCTCCCTCCCTTTTTCCCTTCTTTCCACATAAAGATGAACCTTACAAATGTATAGAATCTTTTATATTATTTCATTGAATTGCTTAGATCCTCAAGGTTTTGAAGATAGAGGTCAGGGATTAGCCAGCTTGTTTAATTATGGTTACATAATTCACTGTATGACGATTCCAGTTCTTTAAGGATTTTGTAAATAGATTTGTATGTAGAGTAGTTGTTGATATCTGAAGGCAGCTTTTCTTCTTTTCTGATTAAACAAAGATATATCATGTATTAGAGCATAAGACTTAAAGGCAAGGAATGTCCTTAGAGAGGAGCCTTCACTGTGACCCTAGCTTTGGATTAAGGCGTTGTCTCCTTCTTGAAAAGACACACCAGTCATCTAAAAGGCTTGAAAACGAGTGGGTGATGAGTTCCTTTTCTATACTTTATAGTGTTTGGGATGACACCTGTGTGTTTAGAGATAAAGCAGTGATTATTAATATGTGTTTCTTATATCTGAATATTATAATATTTATAGACTCGCTCGTCAGAAAAAGTATAACCATGTAGGGTTTTTAAAATAAGTTCCCAGGCATAAATGGACTGCTTCAGGTCTATTCATGAGCCTCCATAAAACACAATTTACAATCTCAAAATGAGGCTAAAAGACGCCTCAAAGGCTATTATTGATCTTCAGAAACCACAGCAGGATTTGACTGAATGGTGTGACTGGTGAGTTCATGTAGAAGTTATAGTCATCAGAAACTTGGCTATCACTCCTTAGTTTTAAGACTCAGCTTCTAGTGCTCTTGATGTAATTTGTTAGACTTTCCCCCAGGTCTCAGCTGTCCTCTTCTTGTCACTTAAATCTTCGCTTAATGTTCCCATTATATAAGTCCTTCCTAACCACTCAGACTAAAGCAACCACCCAGGGTTGCTTAGTTGATTTTCTGTTGCCACAATAAAACACTGTGACCAAAGCAGCTTATAAACATTTAGTTTGGGACTACAGAGGGTGATCTAGACCATGACTGTTGTAGCGGGGAGCCTGGAGCAGTAGCTGAGGCTTGCATGTTGAAATAATATCCATGGGAGGGGTAGCAAAAGGGAGAGAGAAAGAATGAAAGTGAGCTTAGGAGGAATAGCATGGGCTTTTGAAACTCCACAGCCCACCCTGCCAGGGACATGCATCCTCCAAAAAGGCCACACCTCCTAATCTTTACCAAACAAATCTACCAAATGAGGACCAAGCATTCAAGTACATGAGCTTTTGGGGATCAGTCTCATTCAAAACCACCCTCCTTTAGAAATAAGGCCTGTTGCCACACATTTCCATGTGTGTCTCTGTAATAGAAGATGAAGAAGAGGAGAGCAGCTGTTAGCCCTGTCTGCTCTTCTGTTACAGTTTACTGTGTACTGTGCTAGTACACAGCCTGCCACCTGAGTGCTAGTCAGTATCTGTTCAGTGGGTCAAAAATGCTAAGTTCATGAGCTAGTAGTTATTAGGATGTTTATGAGTAGTGGTGTGTTTAAAAGTGACTATCTGAAAAGGTTTTTTAAGTTATGGTATTATAGTTAATATATTCCAGATGGGTAGTTTAATATAAGGACATTTCATACTGGCATTTGACAGGTTTTCAGTAGATATTAAAATTTTGAAATATGATATTTAAACTAACTAAGTTCTTATTTAGCCTGATATATACACATAGCTGAGTATAACTTTTTAAAATTCACGCCCGGACACTAAAAGTATAATTAAACATAATTAAACTTTTATTAAAAAATAAGTTGGTGGTTCCTGAGCTTGTATTTATTTGATCTCTTCACCTTGGAATCAGGTCAGTCTGAATGGATTCACCTCTCCCTCTTACTAAGTCGTTTCATTTTGTTTTCTCTTGTAGAGATGACAGTAGTATTTTTGATGGATTGGTGGAAGAAGATGACAAGGACAAAGCAAAAAGGTAGTTAGCTGTGAAGTAGAAAATAGTAAATAATGTATAATACTTAAAGTAAAAAAGCTTAAACTATCAGTATGCAGTTTAGAAATTGAACTATCTCCTGACTTTTTGAAAAGTAAGTTTGAATATATTATGTCATGTCCAAATTGGACACTGCATTAAACTATTTGTGTAATTAAATAGATTATGTAAAAACTACACATTTAATTTCTTTTTTCCTAGAGTATCTAGAAACAAATCTGAAAAGAAACGTAGAGATCAATTCAATGTTCTCATTAAAGAGCTTGGATCTATGCTTCCTGGTAATGCTAGAAAGATGGACAAGTCCACTGTTTTGCAGAAGAGTATTGACTTTTTACGCAAACATAAAGGTAAAATACTGACTTTGTAAATTGGGTATGGTTTTTATAGCAGACTCTCTCTTAGAAAATATGAGTTATATGATGTTTAAGGTAAAGAAGAAAAGATTCCTAGTATGTTCTTTCTTTCATTCAACAAGCATTTAGTTGTTTTTTTATTCTAGGTCCTTATGAAGTTAGGATGACTTCCTTGGCTCTCAACTTAAGCAAGGGGAGACAAATGTGTAAACATATAATTAAAATACAGATGAGTAATTATTATGAACTATAAGCTTGAGAAGCACATTTTGTCATGATTTTTTTTAATCATAAAGAATGTTTTAAGGTGTACAAATAAGTATTTTTTTTAGCTAAATCTTTTAGGTTAGGCAAGTGAAAGTGTTTTACACAAAGGAAGTATTGTGCAAAAGTGGGAGAGCAGAGAGGTTTGATTGTGACTGAATGTGTTTGTGTTGGAAGGCTGGAGGTGTTATCAGGTCACGTGAGGTTGTTGCAGGCCATTTTTAAAGGTCATTTCAGTGTATGTCTAGGAAGTAAACATTACATCTAAAAGTATTTGTTACTAGAAGAAAATCATCTTCACTAAATCAGTCATGGAAAAAGAAACTTTAAAGTATTTGATATTTAGGTGGTGGAGATAGTAAACTGAAGCTAGAGAAGGATATTTGCTTTTTTAGATGAAGGAAAACTGCAGAACTTCTCAGGAAGACAGATGCTAACTGCTGCCTTTTTCATTTTCTTCACCACCTTTGTAGTCCATTGCTAGGCTCGTTTGTGCGCCACTGCTCTCTGAAATGTGTTCGTTTACTGACATTGCCCACCCATCCCCAGTCCAGCAGAAGTTTTTTTCTTCTTTACTCTCCGTAGAGTTAGAACTGGTGATCTTGATCTGCCCGCTACTGACTTCATGGCTTCCATACTCTGCTGCTGCTTCCCCTTCCTGTCTGGCCCTCTCTCCTCTTCCCTTCTCTGCTCTCTAAATGGGATGTTTCTCAAGGCTTATCCTTGTGATCTTATTTTCTCAACCCTCTTTCCTGTGGGTGACTCATTGTATGACTGCAGCTGCTGTGCGTCTGTAAGCACTAATGAATCTTTGTTTTCAGATGCAGAATTTCCATCCTTGTATTTCTAGTTAACTTACAGACACCACTTTCCATGTGTCCAAACTCAGTTCCTCTAAAATGGAATTCATTTTCATGTTGTCAAGTCAGTTTTTCCTAAACTGACTTTTTCCATTTTTATACCATTTGGTTAGGTTCCCAGGACTCAAACATGAAAATACTTTGGGAATGTTTTCGTTTGTCTTAGCATCATATCACATATGCCATATTCTCTCCTGATTCTTTTGTAAATGTGTCAGTCACTTAGATTGAACCTCTTTGTAAATGATGTCCTTGCTGACTTGGTCTCCCTTTGTATAATGGCACTCTCAGAAACCAGTGCCTTAAACATCGTAGAGCTCCGTAAATGATTGTTGAATGAAATAAATTGAAATGCATACATTTCCACCCTCTGAAAATAGAACATTAATTTTGGCATTATCTAGATTTTGCCCCCAAAATTGAATGTATAATTCTCACAAAAATGAAATTTGTGGTAAATTTCAGGGACATTTTAAAAGTATTTATTTATCTAACATAGACCTGTATTAACTAACCCTTAATAAATTAGTGTATATTGTTATATATATAATTGACAACAGTTTAAAGAGCCTGACTGTATAGTAGCTGTACTTTTAGTTCCCTGTCGTAGTTCAGTGTAGTCATCATTTGTAATCACCAAACTTGTTATATCAGTATGATATATTTAAATATCCGGTAACAAAACATTAAAATAATATAATCCATACTTTTCACTATAAAGTAAGGTAGAGTACAGCCTATCACATTGATCTTTAATTTGTATGATTGTTGTAGTATATCTTTATCTAAAATGGAAAAAAATGTTGAGGCATGGTGGTGTTTGAAGCCAAGACAGAAGAGTTGTAAGTTTGAAGCCAGCCTGAAATACATAGTAAGACTGTGTTTTAAAAATAAAAGAAAATATACTTGTTAAACAGCAAATAGTTCATACTTTACTATTTATGATAACATTTTTATAACTGAATCTGTTTGCTGTAGCAAAATGAAGGAGTCATGTGGTAAATATGTGTGCTGTGCCAGAGGCCCCATTGACTTGGGCAAACTCCACATAGTTAGGAGCATTAAAATGATGCTGAGCAAGTCACTCTGCAAGCGTTGTTACTTTCTGTGAAATTCTGGCCCCAAATCCTCATTTAGTCTCCTAAGATTAGAAAAAATCTTTTTGCCTGGCAAAAATAAGTCCTTTTTGTTGAAAACAGACTGGCTGACCCCATTGGCAACTTTGCTTTGAGCTGACTCCTTATCTCTACTCGAGATATTACCATTTGAATGGCAAGGAAGCCAAGGTAAAAAATTTTCTCAAAATGTTTGGAATAATCTTGGTGTAATCTGCTTATTTCTATTGCTAATTATGTCAGGTCGGAAACAGTTAGGCCTGTCGCCCACAGCGCATATCAAAACTGTACCCTCGCCCACCCAATAAAATCTCCAAAGAAATTGATACTAAATGGTCCAGACCAAGTTCTAGAAGATAACATTTCACATTTTCAAACCCTGGCCTCCTGTGCTTGTCGTTGACTAGGAAGAGAAGGCGACTTGTAGGGTTTTGTGCTCTCCAGTGGTTAGAGTTTGCTGCTAATGTGTCAATCTGTTTACAGAAATCACTGCACAGTCAGATGCTAGTGAAATTCGACAGGACTGGAAACCTACATTCCTTAGTAATGAAGAGTTTACACAATTAATGTTAGAGGTATGTCCAGATTTAATTTTTGAAAGTTTTATTTCTCTAAATTTTTAACAGTGATTAATTTTAGTATAGTTTTAGTAGCATGAATATTGAAAAGTTTTAATTCAGTGTAAATGTAATAAGCTCTATTTGTGTATAATTACAGTTGATCAGTGTATTGATCAAGTATTTTAAATAGATAATGCCATGTGGTAGAAAAATACCAAATTTCTTATTTTCATTATTTGAAATTTTGAGGTGCCTTCATACAGTTCAGAAATCTGTAGCTACTGAGTCGTCAGCCTGAGATGCCCACTCCATCCTGACAAAGCGTAGCGTGCGCTATCACATCAAACACGGTTGTCAGTTGTGCATGTTTTACTCCAGCTGTGCCGTCACGGCTTGGATTCCGCAGTCCTGGAGGCAGGCAGTCCAGTAAGAGAGAGCTCTTGAGTCTAGTTTGTGGGTGGTCTTCTTGCTATGCCATGGCATGAAGATATGCTGTATAGGAACTCTCAAGGACTCTCTTATGGGGACACTAATTTTATTTTGGAGGCGTCATCTTTATAACCAAATCACCTCCTATCTGCTTCCTCCCAATGCAACATAATGGGAAATTAGGTTTCAACATAAATTTTGTAGGACACAGCATTTAGTCCTACTAGACATCTGTGTAAAATGACCACAAATTGTAATAAAAATGATGTATTTTTCAAATGAAAATATGTTAAAAGGTAATCATTCTGTAAATAGAAATGTTTAAAAGAAAGTGAGCAGATGTTCTTCTGTTACAGAATTGCTTTTAAAAATAATTTAGGACAGCTTTTGCTTGTATGCTGACCGTAATATCTCCTGCCAGATGTAATGCACATAAATTTTGTAACACTCATACCCAAAAGCTTTACTTTTCTACTCTTTTATCTTTTCCTACATAGAGTAATAAAATTATCATTTATGCAAGAAGCTGGTCAGAATTTAGTACCAAGTTTCATGAAAATTTAAAATAGCAAATAGGTGGTTTGCTTTGTAGTTAACAGTGATAAGAAAACTCAAGAAGGTATGGCAGAGTCATTGGGGTGAGTCAGGGCTATTGTGGCTATCTTGGGCAGCATGTACAGAAATCATAGATGTATGAAATGAAATTATTAGGTAATTTCATGTATCACGTGTATGTATATAATGCTTATGTTGCAAATATTTTTTTTTTCTTTTTTGTACCACTAGAGTCTGAAGTAAGGCAGAACATTTTTCAGTAAGGGGCTTTTGTTTCTTTGATTATACTTTGGGGTGTAACAATTAGTGAACTGTATTTGTGTGTTTACCAGAAATTATTAAAATTTGTTAAAGTATAAGTGTAGCATAAGCATTTAAACTTATACTTTAAAACTGAAGGGTACTTTTCTCCTGGTTAACTCCGCCAGTTCCCAGACATGCTTTAAGAAGGTGTTTGAAGCGGGAACAGGGCCTCTCCAACTCTTTTACTGGCCCCTAAGACCCCACTTCTCATGCTGAGTCATCTTGCCCAGCCTTAATACATAGGAAGGTGCTCAGTCTTCCTGCAACTTGCTATGCCATGTGTTACTGATACTCAGAGGAGACCTGCCCATTCCTGGGTGGAGATGGAAGAGGAGAAGATTGCAGGGAGGCCGATGGGGAAGGTGGGGGAGGCTATGGCTGGAAAGTGATATTTTTTAAAAAGTGAGATAAGGAAATTCAGGAGCAAAGTTGTCAGGAAATGTGCCCATGTCACATAGGTAGACAAATGCTTCTGGGATGTGTAAGCATGCTGTGCCTTCAGCCACCATTATGTGCAGTAGCTTTAAAACTCATTAATTAGTGTACAGTTGAGGTCCAACTCGAGGAACAGTCTTATTTTTACTTGTTTTTTCCTCTTAAAAGAAGTTTGACGTACAAAAGTATCTATCTATCTATCTATCTATCTATCTATCTATCTATCTATGTTTGTGAAAGGATACACACAAGCTAGTCTACAACAAGAAAGAAAATGACTCATTTTATAATCCTAGTGCAATTTGTCATTCAATAAGATTTTCTGTGTTATAAACTGCTTTTATTGGCATAAAAGTTTGCCATAATTCAAAAATTATTTATTTTGTTAATAATCTTAATGCACCTGCTTTACTAACAGGCTAAATGCATCCAGGTTTTTTTCTTTATAATAGGAAGCTTTTATATTAGTTACTAAGGTGCGTGTACTACATACCAGATAACTATCAAAGGAAAATAAGCCAAAAATTCTAGTGATGATATGACATACAAACAGAGAAAATATATTAAGAACTTGAAAATGTAAGTTAATTCTTTATAACTATCCTCAGAGTTTAGATTCACATAACTGAACAATGTTGTATTTACTTTGAATATGTAAAAAAATCCTTTTAATTTTTTGTTATATCTATCCCTATCCATCTATCTGTCTATCTGCCTGTGGTTCCGTTCTTGCCCCAGCGCACATGTGGAGGGCAGAAGACAACTTATGGGACTTGGTTCTCTCTTCTTACCAGGTGGATTATGGAGATCAAGCTCAAGTTGCCAGGCCTAGTAGCAAGCACTTTTACCCACTTAACTATTTTAGTAGCCCAAATATTTTAGTTTATTTTTATGTATTGAGTAAGTGTATTTTTAAAAAGTAAAAGACTAAGGTGAAGGGTGTGTATATAGGTGTGTATCTTATCCTTAATCCAGATGTTTGCACACATGTGATTTCACATGCTTCAAGTCTGCAGTTTTCTGATTGAATATGAAAATTTTAATCATAACTTAGAATTGGATTTGTTGAGAAAATAGTCTGATTTTGTTTGGATAAACTTTGTTTGGATAAGACTATGATGTAGTTGTGTTACATTTAAGTAATCATGTTGATTACATTAAAGCTGAGTAGGCCCTTTCTGTTTTCAGCTGAATTTCAGATATATGCTTTATCTTACAATGTTAGCATTGTGGTACTGAAGCTTAGTCTATCTACTTAACATGTTGGCACTGCTGGTAGAGGAGTTTAGACCATCCATTTAATATGTTAGCATTACTGGTACAGGAGTTTATACCATCTGCTTAACATGTTGGCATTGCTGGTATTGGACTTTAGACCATCTGCTTAACATGTTAGCATTACTGGTACAGGAGTTTAGACCATCTACTTAACATATTAGTGTTGCTGGTATAGGAGTTTTAGATAATTTAGCTGAGCTTGTTCATTATTGACCATGCCCAGAGAAGTTGAAGCTTGCTTATCTCCCAAAAGTTAATTCATGTCATAACTAGAACTTAGGTCTTAATACTTCTGTTGCCTCTCTTAACTCTTTGAATGCATCTGTGCCTCCCCAAGCCTCCCCCCCCCATCTATTGCCTGAGGAGTAATTTACTACAAGACCTGGGAGTAGGCATCTTAGGACAGAGTCATCTTGTTAGAGTCATCTCTGGTTGTATACTGTTTTCCCCTTGGCAGCTCATAGTCTTCCTTGTAGTTTACAAGACAAGGGCTCACAATATGTGTCAGCCTTGTCTTTGCTGAACATCTATAGGGAACTTCTGTACCCTCCCTAGAACTGACATTCTTATCTTCCACAAACTAAATAATCACTGTTACCAAGAAGATACCTAGATGAAAGTAATGGTGTAAGTAATGAACAGTTCTCCTTCGTTCATACAGTAAGAGGACAGAGATGATCACAGCTGCCCGTCATGATATGGGGATGCTCTCTGCCTTATTCCACGTTTCTCCAATTACCCTTCTCAAGGAAATTTTATCCTCTACTCAGAAGATTTTCATGACTTGGCACAGTTGAAACTTTTCTTTGCAAGAGGAAAGAACAGGTTTCAGATCTAGGAGTGGGACTAAATGATTGAGCATTTTCATTTCAGTTCATTGTCTTCAGAGAGAAGCCCTGCAGTTCCTAGCAGTGTCTTCCCAGCATGAACAGATCATCACAATGAAAGATAACTTACTTTCAACACTGATAGTCTTTTCACATGAGAAAGCGTAGGTTTGTTTTCTTTACCCCAATTTGACTCTATTGACAGTAGCAATCAAATAATTACTGATAAAATTGTAATGAGGTGACACTTCAAGAGTTCCTTTAACTTCAAGATTTCAAACCCCCTCATTATCTAAAAACATATTTGTTTGAGTTATTCTGGAAAGTAAGAAACCATTCAAAGTGCCTTTTTTCTGGACCATATCTCTCCCCTAGAAGGAGAGAGGGGAAGGATACCTTTTTTGTACCTTCAACAGTTAGAGACTGGGAATATAGCTTCATGGTAGGGCACGTGCCTAGCATTCATGAGGCACTGCATCCATTTCCTAGCACTGCAAATAGCAATAATAATTGGCTCTGATGGCCTTCTTGAGTTCAAGGCCATTATGAGCATTGGAAGCTATCTCAAGACACCCCACCCCCAACCCCCAGTGCACACACACAAAATAAAAATTAAAGCCCAACTTGTACTGATTTCCTTTGCTCCTAGTCCCATCCTTTATGGGCTATCCTACTTTTCACTTGTACCAAGTGTGTTCATCTGTGCCCAGAAATAAGGATGAGTGAAACACACACAGTTTTCACCAGAGTTGGTGACCCTTTGAGGGAGCTATTTAACTAAATAACTTGCAACTTCTCCACTAGTGATCTTTCTCTCCTTTAACTTACAAATGTACTGGTTACCCTTTGCTTTATTCTTTTGGTACATGAGTCCTTTAAAATAATCCTTATTTTTTTTACCAGTTTTATGAGTGAGTTATAATAGCTCTTGTCAGCTTGTTCTAAGTTTGTTGTAAGTGACTTGCCTTCCTGTTGATGTTGCTCTTTGAAAATAACTAAACTGTTCCTTTTCTTGTTCCATGGCCTCTCTGATCTCACCGAACCGTCCCTCTTTCTTTCCAAGCTCTTTCCACACTGTATTCTGTCTTTTCTGTTTGTCTGGCTCTTTGCTCTCATATTTCAGTGATTCTTCCAAACCTTGTCTTTGGCCCATTTCTTTATTGAAGGTCTCACCTCTTCATTTAGCATTACTGTTCCTGTGGTTGTCAAAGGAAAGAAAGCACACTGAATCTCATATTTTCTGACATCTTTCCTGAAGATGTTTGTGTTTCTTAGCCCTTGGTTAATCTTTCTCTTTTCATATTGCTACTCATTTCATTCAGTGTCGTTAATTTCTTGATTATCCAAGATATGTTTTCTTGACTCAGTTCTCTGTTTTATATATTTCTTCTAGACTACTAGTATTGAAACACAGCTACCGCCTTACCTGTATAAAACCTTCTGTTGCCTTCCTTTATGTATAGAGTAAAGATATCTTTACCAACAATTTGGGCTTTACATGATTGTGCCTCAGGTTAGTTTGGGGAGGCTTAATTTCTTCTCCCTTCATTCTGTTCCTCCTGTTATAGTCCTACACTTAAGCACACACCTGTCTGTGTGTACTTTTTGAGATGTGACCATCTCCAGATGATCTGTACATACAATGTACGTCTGCAGCTAGAAAGGCAGAGCGTGGGTTATCTTATCTTTAGAAACCAGCTTCCAGTAGATAGCCAAAATGATACTTTTCCCTCAGAAAGATCTAAAGATGCCCAAAAATGAATACACTAAGGTATTGAAAGCAAATTAGCTGCCATTTTGACTGTACACTAAACATTCCCACAATAACTCTTTCGTCATTTTTCTTGTTTTTATTCATTAAAATGCTTTTTTCTTATCCCTTAACTGACCATTATGTTTAATTTCAGGCTCTTGATGGTTTTTTTTTAGCGATCATGACAGATGGAAGTATAATATATGTATCTGAGAGTGTAACTTCATTACTTGAACATTTACCAGTAAGTATAAAAACCCTATAATCTCTTTATTATTTAATGTCTACACAAAATATTAGAACGCACTAGGAAGTAGATCTTCAGAGTGATATTTGAACAGTGGTTGAGGGGTTGGGATTAAAACCCCAGATGTCTTTGTATTAGCATTGCCGTGTTTTCTCAGACCAGTCCTAAGGCCCCTATCCATAGTCCTTTAGCCTCTCTTGTTCTTCCCTTTGCATTCAAATGCTAATTTTGCAATGTTTTTCTTTTAGCTGATGAAAATACTGTATCAAACAAAAAACAAACAAAAACCTCCAACCAAATTTCTACTACACTTATTGCTATGAGGAAAACTCATAAATAATTTTCTCAAAAAAGTGACTTATAAAAACTGAAGTAGAGCCGGGCAGTGGTGGCGCATGGCTTTAGTCCCAGCACTTGGGAGGCAGAGGCAGGTGGATCTCTGTGAGTTCAAGGCCAGTCTGGTCTACAAGAGCTAGTTCCAGGACAGCTAGGACTGTTACACAGAGAAACCCTGTCTCGAAAAAACAAACAAACAAAATACAAGTAGGTGCAAAGCTTGCATGCAATGTGAGTTGGATTGGTAATGTAATAATGGCCATATTCCATTTTAAAACATGTCCTCAAAAAGGTGCACTGTGCTAGAGATGCAGCTCCATAAAAACCTTGTATGTTTGCTTTTACTCATCCTATATTTATTGAACACTAGGCTAAGTGCTTCCTACAGTTAAAGGTTTTAGAAATTTATTTGAAATTTTTATATAATGTGTATTTAAGATTGGTTTGTGGTATAAAAATTCTATTATTTTCAGATTACTTTTGAAATGCCCATTGTTAGAAAATTTACATTAGTGCAATGTAAACCATTCTTTAAATATTTCTTTTTAAAAATATATTTTTTTTAAGGGGCTGGAGAGATGGATCAGAGGTTAAGGGCACTGATTGATCTTCCAGAGGTTCTGAGTTCAATTCCCAGCAACCACATGGTGGCTCACAACCATCTGTAAGGAGATCTGGTACCTTCTTCTGGCCTGCAAACATACAGACAGACAGAACACTGTATACATTAAATAAATAAATAAATAAATAAGTAGAAAAAGTATTTTTTTTAAAAAAACAAAACAAAACAATATTTCCTTCACTCGGGTTTCTCTGCTGCTTAATACCTTGTATAGAGAAAGGACTCTACCCATAAAAATGTCAGATTGTCATTGTTGTCAAGGGCAACTTTTTACTGAAAGTCAGGCAGTAAGCATTGCACTCATTTTTAAAATTTTTATTGCAGTATATGTATGTCTGTGTGTTTGTACGCCATTTGCATACAGATACCCAGCGAGGCAGGTGTGGATCTCGGGAGCTGGAGTGAGGGTAGTTGTGAGCTGCCTGATGTGGGTGGTGGGAACTGAACTCAGGTCGGGACTCTTGGTGAGCAGTAAGTGCTCTCAGCTGCTGAGCCCTCTGTCCCTATTGCTAGTTTCTAGATTTGGCTTGGCTTCACTGGTCTTCTTCTGCAAATAAAGCCCAAATCTAAAAAGTGGTTGGACAGTAAACATATAAGTCAATTGGCTCAGACAGAGAGAAGATCAGATCAAGTGGATATTCTTAATGACCCCTTTAAAAAATTATTTGCCATTAAATGCTGAGCCAAAATGTTTAGAATTTGCTAGCTTAACAAAACATTACTCTCCACCAACAGATAGGCTAAGGATGCTGTCAGATAATACCTTAAGTCCATAATTGAGATTTCTCTGGCTAGCCCATGTCTGATGTTTCATCTACAGATGTATTTTTTTGATGTCTTGATTTACAAATTTCTTTGTTCTGTTACCATAAAACTCCATGAAATGATTCCGTGTTGGAACAACAGAACTTGGGATAAACTAAATCTACATTCCAGGGCCATGATCACTTAAATTTGACTTCAGAATAAGTTACTATTTTTCTCCTTTGATGAGGGTGGGAATTTATTTGCACAGTAAGAAAGCTTGGCAGGCTGGGGAAAGAGTGCTGGGAGCCTGGGATGTGGCTCAGTGGTAGATCACTTGCCTAACGTGCACATAGCCCTGTGTTTCCCTCCCCGGCTCTTCGCAAACAGCAGCCAGTAGAACAGAAGACCACAGAGCACAAGGAATGAGAGAATCCTCTGTAGGATTAAGATAGGATTAATTGAAAATGAGAATATTTATGTGCTTTTAACCATATATAGTTGTATTATTTTTTTCAGTTTTGTGTGTACAGGAAAGATGTTTTTTCTCAGTCACAATCACAGCAGCACTTGCATTTGCTTACACTTTTCACGTCTGCTCTTTGGGTTTCCTGCAGGATTAAAGGTCTTCTTTTTGTTAACTGTGCATCCTACCACTTAAAGTCAGCTTAAAATCATTGTAAAAAAAATGGTTTATTTATTTTACAATTAGGGTAGTTGTATGATGCTAAAGCCAGCAATTTTTATCTTTTTATTCCTAAGAATATTGGCTGGTTTTTCAGAGCCACTCAGGAATTACTTATTGAGTGAATAAAAATGAATTAAGTAGTTGGCCATCTTAATGATTCCTTCTAAAATGTTCCCTAGGGCCCTGATAAATGGCCAATTAGTTAAGAGCACTTGCTGTACTTGCAGAGGCCCTGGGTTTAATTCCAAAAACTCATATCAGGCAGTTCACAGTTCTAGTAGATCTGGCAGAGCACACACATGGTGCTCATACATATACTTAAACATGCACACATATTCATTAAATAACTAACAAATAAAACTTTAAAAAATACTTTCCTAATGGAGAAGAGGGCATCAGATTCCCTGAAATAGGATTACAGACAGTTGTGAGCTATCGTGTGGGTACTGGGCATTGAACCTGGGTTCTCTGAAAGAATAACCAAGACTCTTAACCCCTGAGGTGTCTTTGATCCACTGCTGGTGGGTCTTTGGTGTGGGATAGTTTAATTATACTTTAAATGGACAGCCTGACAGATCTGGTTGTTGCAACGTATTTGATCTTTATAATAACCCCTCAATAGAAACCTCACTTTGCCACTCCCTCCTGTATTTTTTCTTAAAAGTTACATATTTTAGAACTATTTTTAGGTTTACAGAGAAAGACAGCAGGAATTTCTTTCTCTTGAAAATAGTTGAGGCGATGAAAGAATCCAGAGAGTTAGCATTTTCTTTTCTTCATTTAAGTTGTAACCGAGTGGACATAATGTATTATCCACTGAGTGGATACAGTGTGGATCGCTTTATTTTAATATGAAAATGTGGCAACTGTAAGTGTTGTGTTTGAAACATGAATAGTGGTTAATGGAGAGTTTGGACTGTGTAGGAAGAGGGAGGAGCAGTAGGAAGCATGCTGGTGTTCTTGGCTTTTCCTTTGTAGGCTTGTAGATAGGAAATAAGGACGCAGTGAAATGGTCCCAGAAGAGTTGTTGGTTAAGAGTAAACAGAAAATGTTATTCTTAAAATTAACATTTTAGTTCTTATTTCAAATTTATTTTTTATCAAGACTACTTTGTGCATTCTGATCAGTGCTTAAATTTCTACTTTGTCAGTGAAAGACGGTTTCCTAGTGTTTGTTATTCATGCCTGAAGTTTCCATCATTCTTTTAGCATTAATGGCTTTTTAGTCTTCCAAAAGGATTCCTCATTAAAATACAAGTGTGTTTTTGGTGTGGTTATTCCTTAAGCTATTATCAAACGACTCAGTGGTGCCAAATCATTGTTTTGTCCTAATAACTAGTATGTAAGGCACATATACCTTTATTGGCAAGGGAAAGGATAAAGGTGTAAAAGATAAGACCTTTTTGTTCATCGTGGAGCAACAAGACATAGACATCAAGAGACCTACCTACCCCCTTTGAGGTATAATATGAGCCATAAATTCTAACGGAATTTGTTTGCATTTGAGGTTTCAGGTGTGCTGTTTTGAAGGAAGTGACTTTTAAACTTTTTTATTTTTTATTTAAAATACAAATACATCATTTCTGCCTTCCTTTTCCTCCTTTAATCCCTCCCATGTCCCCACTTACTCCATTTCAACTTGATAACTTCTTTTTCTTTATTATTGTTACACACAATGCACATATACATACATATAAACATGTGGACGAACCTTGATGTTGCTTATGTATATATGATTTGGGGTTGACTGTTGGGTATTGAATACCAATTATTAGGTCATTCCTGTGAAAGACTAATTTTCACTTTCAGTAGTCATTAGTCACTTATAGTTCTTTATGTAGAGACTCCATGAGATTTCCCCTGTCCATATTAGCATATCAATTGGTGTTGTCATTGTACATATCTTGTTTAGGCAGCCATAGTTGTTGAGGTGTCATAGATACAGCTTTCTTGTCATTTCTAGCAGACACAGTCTCACAGCAGACTTCCTAGTCTCCTGGTTCTTAAATTTTTCCTGTTCCTTCTTATGAGGTGTCCTCTGATAGGTGCAGGGGTTGTGTCATAGATGTGTCCTTTGAGATTGGGCACACCACAATGAATTGATCTCTACATTTTGAACAGTTGTTTTCTTCAATGGTCTCTGCCTTCTGCTGCAAAGAGACACATTTTTGATGAGGGCTGAGAGCTATACTTATCTGTGTGTATAAGGATAAGTTTAAGAACGCAGTTAATAATTACGGTAAGTCTAGTAAAGTAGTTGTAGTAGCTTCTCCTGTAAGATCTGTAACCTTACTAGCTAGGAGTTCTTGGCTAGGTTTCTAGTACCAGGCATCGCTTTCTGGAAGGAAGTAATTTGAATTAGTGTTTGGAAAATGCAAGATAGAGATGTGGAATTTGCCTAAGCTGTAGAGAAGACTTTGATTCCTAGAGAAAAGCCAGAAGTCGTGTGAGTATATGGGGAGTAGGAAGCCATCCCTCCTTTCCTCCCATGATTTGGCTTTTCTTACTGTTTTTTTTTTTTTAAAGCAGTGGAGCTGTTCAGGTATATAAAATGCAAACCAAATGGAAGTGCAGCTGCCTTCCCCCAACAGCTCCCTCTACCTCCCTTGCCTCCCACAGGCCTGAGCTCTCACTCCTTGATTCTAGAGTTAGAGCAGGGTGGACAGTGAGGACTCCAATAGGATGGGCTGCATTCAGTAGAAGGTAAAGTCGCTGAGGTGTCACTGTCATTGGTTCTTCATCTTTGAGTCTACAGCATCACCTGTCACAGGTTCCTAACATTTGTAAGACTACTGCTGATTATTGGATAGCGACTAAAGTCACGTCTTAGCATGCAAGAAGAATTAAAATGCTTTACATGCTAGCTGTTCATTTTAGGCAAGGCTTTTGGGAATGTGATATAGAATAAATGCCTGGAAAAGATGAAATAATATTAAAGGGCGTGTTGGACTATTACAATGATAGTAGTGTCAGATCTCCTCATTTAGCTTGTCACTGTCAGCACCGCTGTTTAACAGGTGTTTGAATAAATTACAAGTCTGTGTCTAAGAGCCAATAATTTTCTTAACTTTCTTGGTCCCATTGTATTTTACAATGTTCAAATTTGGTAAAACTAAAGTTTTTGAATAGTGTTTCTGGCTTTTTGAATCACATCTGATGACTCTGGTATGTTAGCCTTCTCTAGCTTCTCAGTCTCAGTTTTTAATATGGAGTTTGTAGATTGACATTACTGGTTTTCCTGGATAATTGAATATTAATCATATGTACCCCTGTTATTTAATATTTATTATACATGTTAAAGATAAGTGCCTCTCAAAGAACCATTATATAATTTTAAATTTTCTTATTTTTCAGTCTGATCTTGTGGATCAAAGTATATTTAATTTTATCCCAGAGGGAGAACATTCAGAGGTTTATAAGATACTCTCTACTCACCTGCTGGAAAGTGATTCATTAACCCCTGAATACTTAAAATGTAAGTAGGCCCTCCTAAGCAGAGACTCAAAGCTTATATTTGGCAACATTATCCTTTATTTCTGTAAGTTTATGAAAAACATGTTTTGTTTAACTAAATTAGAATAGCACTGTTTCATGAACTTTATTAAATGCTTTTAAAATATTGGTGAATATACACAACTAAAAGAATTGTGTTCATTTTAAGATACCATATCTATCTACTATTCCATTGTATATTGAAGTCTCATCTTTTTTGTTATAAAAATTGATCGCAATTATGCAACAAACTGTAATATATAAAAAGATGGAAATCAGTTACATGTTTTTAATTTTTAAATAAAATCTTAAAGTATTTATTAAATAATCTTTGCTGGATGTGTTTAATATAATTTCTTAAGTTGCCAAATATAGTGAAAAATAGTCCCTGCCATCAAGCAGCACAAAATATTTTGGTGTAGTGAGACATTTCTGTAGATTGCCTGGACAAGCAGTTGACTGGAACTTTTGCTGTCTTCATTCTTGGTGTTCTGGTTACCTTCACACAGCCTCCCATGTAGTAGACTGTGATACGGGGCATGCTTATCTGGGCTCGTGCTTTAGGTGTCTAACATTCTGGGAATGACATGGTGGAGCACAGCTGTTGACAGCATGAGAGCTGAGAAGCAGGAAGGAAGAAGGGCTTGAGGACATGCCTGCTACAGCCTACTTCCTCCAGACTCCTCTTCTCCTCAGTCTCCAGATTCTCTCACAGTAGTATTGCTAGCTGTGAGCCCTTTGTGCTTACAGTTCATGTATAACCCGTAATAGTTACCCTGGGTAAATCAAGGTGTGTGGGTCTGGGCATGTAACAGTGGTGAAGTACTTGCTTATAATGCACATGACCCTGAGCTCGTTTCCCGTGTGTGTGTGTGTGTGTGTGTGTAAATTAGTACATTATTGTATTTGTGTGGCCATTAGCTGTTAGAGACCTTCCTTAATACCTTTTTTATTAGTTTTAAAATGTATCTTATCTGGTAATAGTGACTTAAATCAACTTAAAAAGTTCTTTGTATTTTTGTCTTCAGATTCTATAATATTAAGAACTAACCCGTGTGTACTTGGATACGTGCTTACATCCATGTTAAGAATAGATTGTCTTTCAGAAGGAGTTATAAAAAGATAGAAGTAGAAATTTACTTGGAGCCTATATGTAATTGTTTATAATGAGATTTGCATTACGCTAGTCATTAGACCATTTTAATATGGATAAAATGTTAAAAGAAACATTTGGGCTAGACTTAATAGAGAAACCAACTATACGGCTTTAAACAGTATTTGAAGTCACAGAACAAAAGACATTACTGAGGCAAATGCATAGAAAAGGGGGAGAGATAGAAAGTTGGCCCTCTGAGTTGTCAGCAGAAGGACAGGGAGAAGGAGCCAGTTTTAGAGACCCTAGAAGGAGAGGACTGCTCAAAAGCACACATAAAAAGCTTCTGCCAAGATAGACCTCCTACTCTGGAGATCAGAGAAGTCTTAACTAAGTGATTCACTGAGGACCTTCTAAAGAGGTGGTTACACAGGCAAGATTCTTATTGCTATATTGCTTAGAAAATGTAGTACCCTCTTTAGCTATAATGTCTGTGAGTTGGTACAGATAATACGATGTTTGCAAAGATGAAGCAGAATTATAAAACACCTAGATTTTCATCCTATGGAGTTTAATTTTTACTCTTTACACAATAAAGAACTAGTGAAGGCCTTTTGGGTGGTTTGTAGTTGCAGGGAGAAATCAAGATAGAGACTTTTGCATTCTAGGGTCAAAAAGGGGAAGTGTATAATTAGCAATAGAAGTATAGATGGAGAAAAAACATGATTGATAAGTTGGCAGATCCAGTATAACTACATCTGGGAAAATTTTGAAAAGATAATTGGAATTTGCACCTGTTGAGTTAGGTGATAAAGCCAGATGCAGAAGAGTCTAAGTGTGATGCAGTGAGTGAAGGAGCGGGGTATTACATAGTCATGGACGAGACTATCTTACATAGAGGGTAGAGTTGGTCAGAAAGATGCAGGAGGGTAAGGAGCCGCCCAAGATCAATTGGTGAATATAGAAAGGTTCTTAAAGGTCAAGCTCAAAAGGTCTTTGTGAAAGTATCTAGTATCAGACAGTTAGCAAATCCAGTAGTATAGGGAGGGGAGTCCATGCTGTGGGGATGAGGGAGAACAAGTTGTCAGATGAGCTGGGAAGAATGAGAAAAACCACTTGAGGTTGACAATACAAACGTCAGTGTTGTTTGGGAGAGCCATCACTCTGGAGGCGTAAGGCAGTTAGAGAAATGGATACATGAAGACCAGAGTACAGTTTAATGAGTTCTCTGGTGCTATAAGTAGATTAGCATGAAAAATACTTTGTTGGAAAGATTGAAGACCTGGACAGATTTAAAATTGTAGGAAGTAAGGAGCCAAAGAAAAAATTGCAGTTGCTAAAGGAATGAATATCAAATGGCAAGGCTCTGGTCCTATAGGAGGCCAGAAAGACTCTTGAAGGTAGAGATGGGAATAGTAAGCCTATAATTTTAACACTTGGGAACCTGAAGCAAGGGACAAATTCTAGGCCAGACTGGGTTAGTGGATAAAACCCTGCCAAAAGCAACAGCAGCAGAAAAGAAGGTATTGGATTTAAATAAAGGGAGAGCATTAGCTTTAAATGGAGAACAAGATATTTTTGTGAAATGAGAAGTAGGGGTGGGATGGGGGAGCGGATGCAAATGGAGAAGGGCTGTGCGTGCTGCCGTGCTCTCCCGCAGGACTTCACTTCACTGGGATGCACTGAAAACGGCGTGCAGCGCTGCCTCTGTTGGAAGAATGAGTGTGAACTCACCCAACTTTTTATCATTTGTTTCAGCAAAAAATCAGTTAGAATTCTGTTGTCATATGCTTCGAGGAACAATAGATCCAAAGGAGCCATCCACCTATGAATATGTGAGATTTATAGGAAATTTTAAGTCTCTAAACAGTGGTAAGTTAAAATGCTTCTCTTACAATACGTTTTAACTGACTTTATTTTTCTAAGCTCTTAGATGCTTAAGTGTTAGTAACAAGTATATTTTACTGGATTAACCCCATGATACATGTCTCCTTGCTTTTTTAGTATCAACTTCAGCGCACAATGGTTTTGAAGGAACTATACAACGCACACATAGACCTTCTTATGAAGACAGAGTTTGTTTCGTAGCTACTGTCAGATTAGCTACACCTCAGTTCATCAAGGTATGCTTCTAATTTTAATGGCTCTAGTGCCGGTTCATGATATGAGAATTGTTCTTAGGAGTTTTTTGGGTTTGTTTTTTTTTCTTTTTTTCTTTTTTTTTTTTTTTTTTTGTCTTCAGAAGGTTGAAACTTAGGCCAGCATCGAAGTAGTAATAGCTGGTGAGTTATTAAATATGCATGAACTTCTTACTTTAACACAGTGAAGGACGAGCGCTCATTCAATAATATGTAACCTTTTTTAGTATATTCTTTGCAAGTGTCCCATGGTAGTATATTATCATTGCCCTGCTTTTGTGCAGAATTTATAGTTCACTATCATCCTTAAAAAAAAGTTGAAAAATGAAAATTAAAAAAAAATCTAGTTTTTAAAAGAATGTGCCACTGAGCGATGGTGGCACATGCTTTTTATTCCAGCACTTGAGAGGCAGAAGTAAGCAGATCTCTGAGATTGAGGCCAGCCTGATCTATAGAGTGAGTTCTAAGACAACCAGGGCTGTTAACAGGAAAACCTTTTCCCTGGGGAAAAAAAAAGAAAAGAAAAGAAAAAAGATAAGGCTTTACTAGATATAATTTGATATTTGAATTTTTATTAATTTTTTAAAAAATGTGTATGGGTGTTTTGTTTACACATATGTTTGTGTACCATGTGCATGCTTGGTACCCAGGGAGGCCAGAAGACGGCATTGGATGCCCTAGAACTGGAGTTACATACAGTTGTGAGTTACCATGTGAGTGCTGAAAATTGAACCAAAGCCCTTTGGGAGAACTGGAGAGTTCTTAATGGCTGAGCCATCTCTCCAGCCCCCTGCTCTTTGAATTTGTGTGCTTTTATTTCTTGCATCCCATAAGCAGATGATTAGTAGAAAAGGAGAAAAGTGAATTACTTTAGCCCTTAGAGACTGGAAAGAAGACAAGGTGACATTACTGTTTGGGTGACATGATAGTGTAAGAAAGAACAGTCAGCTGTTAGGAGATCTTAAACTAGTCTTGCTGTACCTGTTTTGTCTTAGGAAATCAGAGGGCAGTTGCATGCTTTATCTCATTTCAGTTTTACACTGTGACATAGATGCTGTCTTAATTTATATTTAAGGAAACTAAGGCTTAAGAAAGTTGCTTGCCAAATATCTCATCTATTAAGTGGAACTTGATTGGAATTATTTTTCTTTCAAAGCCCCAGCTCCTAACTGTTAGAGAAGATTGTGTAAGGATGGAAAGACTATAGAGCATTGCTTTTTACAACAAAATCTAGTTTTCATGGATATGAGGGGAGAACAGTCAGAACTTATTTTAGAAAGGTAATCAGAGGCCAGGCCTGAAATTTGTTTTCTCTGTGGTTTTTCTCCTTGGAGAGATTTGAGCATGAGAAACCATAGAAGAGTTTTAGATGGGAAGTTATATAATCGTGTTTGAGAATTGCTAAGGTAATGATAATGGCTGACCATTAGGGAGGGAGGGTAAGGATCTAAACTTAGTCACTTCGTAAGTGATGTGGAATGAATTTTTAAATTCCTAGAAGGTGAGATTAGAAGTCTTTAGAGCTGGAGAGATGGCTCAGTGGTTAACACTTACTGCTCTTACAAAGAACTGCCATTTGGTTCTCAGCAGCCATGCATGGTGGCTCACAACCAGCTGTAACTCCAGCTGGTTACCACGCCCTCATCTGGTCTCCCCAGGCACATGTTGACACACATAGAGACATATATCTATACACATGAATAAAAACAAATGTTTATTAAAAAACATTTAATAATGACTACTTATATCATGAAGAGTGTGCTGATTTCTAGACTCTATTGTCCATCTAGTCCCCATCAATGAGAGGGGAATTGTGTAAGTATATATGAGAGTAAGGCATGTTCAGACACTGAGAAATGGGAAGGGTATATCAAAACAAAGGTCTGGATTTAGTAGTAGGCTCTTAGGCGTGTGAGCGAGATTGAACTGGACTATAACTGCTGACCTGAGGCTGGCAGTTGCTGCTGTTTATATGTTGTTGCTTGGGATGGCTGTCAGAATCGTTGGGGATCCAACTTAGGACTTTGCAAACCCTAGACAAGCGCTCTGTATCTCCAGCCTGTGTTTAGTACTTAAAACTAAATGTGTTAAAGTTTGTTTAGATGAAACTTATTTAATGATTCATGTCTACCAATATTTAATATTTCTAAGGATACAGACAATTTCTTTTAAATTATACGTGTTAATCCGTTTGTAGGAGATGTGTACTGTTGAAGAGCCCAATGAGGAGTTTACATCTAGACACAGTCTAGAATGGAAGTTTCTATTTCTGGATCACAGGTAATGTCACCTTTAAATTTCACAAAAGAAGAAGAAAAAAAAAGGCCGTAATTATGTAATTCTGGATATTAACGGACTACAGGGACAAATGTTCTAAACAGAATTTTGAATTCATTATTCATTCTGGAAAAATGTAAATGTACTTCTCAAATTAATTTCTGGCTGTGATGTCTCTTGTAGAAAAGTTGTAATACTGATTATTTTTTTATTTGTTGTTTGTTTGAGTTTTTTGAGGCAGGGTTTCCCAGCAGCTATGGAGCGAGTCCTGGAATTCGCTCTGTAGATGAGGCTGACTTTGAACTCAGAGAGATCCACCTGCCTCTACCTCCCAAGTGCTGGGATTAAAAGGCGTATGCCGCCACCACCTGGCAATACTGATTTTTTTTTTATTGTCATTAAATAATTTAGGGCACCACCAATAATAGGATATTTGCCATTTGAAGTTTTGGGAACATCAGGCTATGATTATTATCATGTGGATGACCTAGAAAATCTGGCAAAATGTCATGAGCACTGTAAGTAAATCTTAATGCTTCTCTGTTAAGAACTATTTTAAAACATACAAATAGATACTCTTGTTCTATTAATGAGACTGGGAAAAGATTTAGAACTGTTTTTTTCTAAACATATACAGAAGGACCAAGTTTATGGTCTTACATACAAAGGAAAATCTTATAGTACTTTAGAGAAGTACATAGTTTCCCAAATCAGTTTAACCACAAAACCCAGTTTCTGCCTAACTTCAATTAAAGTACTTTAGAACCTAACATTTGAATTAGTTTGGGAAGTTCCACTTAACAATGATTGCAAACAATGACGTTATTCTGAGTTTTGGTTGATAAAAGCTTTATAATTAGATGCTACAGATATCATACGTGTCAGTGTCTTTGAGAAAATGTAGTTAGTATGATTATGAGCTGTTGTTTCCCTATGTGTTTGATATCTGAGCATGAACAAGTTAATGGTATGAGTCTTTCAGTATGTGGGATTTGTTATGAATGAAGAAATGTATAAGATCAGCAATAATTGACTATAAAGTTGGAAACTGGGGGATCTGGTTATTTGGGAGACCTTAAGCTAGTTTTTAAAAACCATCCTTATAGTTGATACATTTTTCTGAAAGTTATCCAGAAAATAATTATGTCTGTATAGAGTTAAATGTAAATGAAAGCCTTTGTTTAAAAGAAATCCAGATTCTTATAGCTAAATATATATCAAAAAAAATACGTCTTTTCTTTTCAGTAATGCAGTATGGGAAAGGCAAATCCTGTTATTATAGGTTCCTGACCAAAGGACAGCAGTGGATTTGGCTTCAAACTCATTATTATATCACTTACCATCAGTGGAACTCAAGGCCAGAGTTCATTGTGTGTACTCACACTGTAGTAAGGTAATAATTCTCTAAAACATTTGTAAGGTGTGCTAATAGCCGAATATAATTTTATGTGTGGTTTCTTAATGAATGATAGTGATCTTTCCCCAGTTTTAATACTTAATATTTTTAATAGTAAACTATTTAATAGTTAGAAATCTAATACTGACAGTGCATAGGTATGTAAGACCTGACTTGACTATTGTGCTGTAGCAAAAGCTGTACCAACATTGAAGCTCCAGTGCATGTCGTGAAAAGCATAAACCAGAGTAACTGCTGATTGTCCTTCCTTTATTTAGTTCCTCCTAATTCACATGCTTAGTTCCTATAGGTCCTTGGTAGCATGCCTAAAGCATATAGACACTGTACATGTGTGTTTGGTTTGCTTAGCACATAGGAAATCATACGGAATTACTGTGATCAAGAGAGATATGTAACTAGCACCAATTATTTGCATCTCTACAGTATTTTAAATAAATGGCCAAACATTAAAATTTGATTCTTTCCATTTATAGTTATGCAGAAGTCAGGGCTGAAAGACGACGAGAACTTGGCATTGAAGAGTCTCTTCCTGAGACAGCTGCTGACAAAGTATGTTTCTTACAGCCTCTTTTTAAATATTTCATTTCCTAATAATTTTGTGAGAGAGATTTGGTTATCTCTATAATATTTATTTTTCACCTTTTAAAAAATACTATTTGCTTCTAAGAAGGAATTGAAGATCTTGCCATTTAAAACTTAATTAGGTGAGAGACATACCCAATATAATATTAAAACTATTATAATTGACTTTGATGTGCTAGACTGTATTCATTTTATAAGTATAAACTGTGATTTACTCCTTATGGCCTTCTCTGAGGTGATAACATACACTGTGAGAATACTGAGTAGTTTTAAGAAGGAACCTAAAGACACGTGACTGGGAAATTATAGTTAGAATTGGAACTCTGGTTTCTTTGTTGTATATCATGTGGAAACCAAGCATATCCCCTGTCTAATCTGATGGAGAAGGAAGTAGAGATCCAAGAGCAGTATTCTGGAGTATATGTGAGAATACAGCTCTCTTACACAACTGCAGAGAGTGTTTGATCAGGGACAGATAGGTTTTCAACTCTATCAAACTGGCAGCTATGACTTGCAGGTCACATCTGGCCTTCTGACTGATTTCACAGCATCTATAAACTATAAATACATTTTATGTACTAAATACTTGAAAAAAATTAAAATAATAACAATGTTTTAATAATAAGGCCCCATGAGACAAGTATCAAATTCAAATTTGATTCAAATTGCAGTGTTTATAAAGAGCAGAACGACACTTGGTTGCTTATATTTGCCTGTGGATTTATTTGTGCTGCAGTAATTGAGTAGTGGTGGCAGAGACTGTGTGGCTGAGAGAAGCTGAGAGATTTGCTCTCTGGGACATCAGTGTTATGGAGAGATGTCTGCTCTGTTTTTTTTTTCCATTTATTTATTTATTTATAAAAATGTCCACTTCCTCCCCTCCTCCCAATACCCTCCCATTCCCCCCACTCCCTCTCCTCCTCCCTCTCCAGTCCTAAGATCAGTCAGGGTTTCCTGCCCTGTGGGAAGTTCAAGTTCCTCCCCCCTCCCTCCAGGTCTAGGAAGGTGAGCATCCAACCAGACTAGGATCCCAAAAAGCCAGTCCATGCAGACGAAACAAGACCCAGTGCCATTATCAATGGCTTCTCAGTCAACCCCCCTGTCAGCCACATTCAGAGAATCCGGTTTGATCACATGCTTGTTCAGTCCCAGTCCAGCAGGCCTTGGTGAGCTCTCATTAGATCAGTCCCCTTGTATCAGTGGGTGAACGCACCCCTCGCGGTCCTGACTTCCTTATTCATGTTCTCCCTCCTTCTGCTCCTCATTTGGACCTTGGGGGCTCAGTCCAGTGCTCCAGTGTGGGTCTCTGTCTCTATCTCCATCCATCGTCGGATGAAAGTTCCCTCTGATCCTGCCTTCCTTGCTCACGTTCTCTTTCCTTCTGCTTTTCATTTGGACCTAGGAAGCTAAGTCCAGTGCTCCAATGTGGGTCTCTGTCTCTATCTCCATCCATCGCCAGATGAAGGTTCTATGGTGATACGCAAAATATTTATCAGTATGGTTATGGGACAAGGCCAGTTCAGGCACCCTCTCCTCTGCTGCCCAGGGAACAATCTGGTGACCTCTCCTTGGACCTGGGAACCCCTCTAGAATCAACTCTCTTGGAAACCCTAAAATGGCTCCCTTAGTTGAGATATATACTTCCCTGCTCCCATATCCATCCTTCCTCCCACCCCTCCATCCCATTCCCCCAAGCTATCCCAAATCCTCCTCTTCTCCCTTCTCTCTAATCGTCTCCCCTTACATCCACCCCCCACCCTCCGTGCACCCAAGTTTGCCTGGCAATCTTGTCTACTTCCAATATCCAGGAGATAACTATATGATTTTCTTCAGGTTCACCTTCTTATTTAGCTTCTCTAGGATCACGAATTATAGGCTCAAAGACCTTTAATTATGGCTAGAATCCACTGCTCTGGTTTATAGTAGCACACTGAGTCGTGATATACTACTCGAGGATCACATTTCCTCATCACGCTCTGCTCATGATTAGTGATTGTTAGAATAGTGGGGAGCTTATGACAAGGTTCTCAGTGAAATAAGAATTAGCTGAAGGGGAGGAGTTTGGGGTGTCACAAGGCGGGAAAGGGAAGTAGGAAAGGGAATTTTGTTGTATGGAGATTTACCATCTGGATTGCAGGCAGATAAGAACCCTCACAAGTTTCTTGATTATTAATTTGAAGTAAGAACAGTCAGTGTGCTTTGTTTCTTTGTCAATATTGTACGGTGTAGGATAAGCAAAAGTGGTTTAACTATTGAGATTTTGCCAAGGAAATGATGATAAGAGGAAATAGGAGCAAGGGTACTGAGCATATGTACACGGTTGTTAGAATATCAAACACAAATTTAAGATTCTTAAGGGAAAGAGGACAAAGTGAAAGTGATATATAGAAGCATAGAGTCAGTGTAGTTTTGGCTTAAACCATAAGATTATTGGAATTAGGATAGTTAGGGTGAGTAGGTAATGTGGCAAGTTTTGGTCAAAAATGAGGATGCTTGAATTGAGGTAATTGGCTTTGACGTATGACCAAGATTAGTGACTGAAGACTCATAGAGATTTTGAAGGGGTGACACCAAGGACAAGAGCTTGCGGTGTTGTTTTGGGTAGAAGTGATTTGGGATTACTAATTCTGGGGAGTGCTGAGCCAGAAGTTAGAATGCCATTCAGGTGTATGTGTGAAGTCAGCACAGGAACGATGACCTCAAGAAACCATGTGACATAGTGTGTGAGCTTAAGCTCCACACCATTGAGCTTAAGAAGGAGGACGTTTCTTCATCCTGTGAAATTAAGATCTGAGAGTCCTAAAATAGAAACTCCCATTTTTGATGGGAATGACAAAGACATTGGTGCGGTCTGATTTTTAAAACTAATGTGTGAAAAAAATAATCAGAGCTGAGGTGGGAAATGCAGAGCTGTTTGTTATTATGCACTGTGAAGGTGGGTGGGAGGTTTCAGAGGCTAGGAAGCAGTGAAAAATGGTCTCAGATACAGGCTGGGAAGAGCTGCAAGTTAACGAAGGAGACAAGGCATTGAGTGACGTGGCCTCTACCCCAGAATGAATAACTTTGAGAGCAAATATTTTGCATTTATATGTATTTGAATATAATATAATGTAAGCAATTATATGTAGCCTTGAAATAGGATGTGCACTTGTTTCTTGTTCACTGATGCCTGTAGAAAGACTTTAAGGGGACACTGATTCTATTCTAAGTATGGGATGGGGATGAAGCACCAGTATATGTGTTCTGTCCATAGTAGGTTCTGCTTTTGGTGGTGGGTAAGCCTGCATAAGGCAAGGCTGTCAGTTGAGAGGGGAGACAAAGAATAAGAAACAGTGGGAAAGGTTTGGGAACTCAAGAATAGAAAAATGAGTCCTTTAGTACACTTGGCAGTTCTGCTGACTAGAATTGAGCATACACTTGAAGTTACTTTTGATAGTTCCTTTTAAAAATGTGGTAAAGTGGCAATTTTATTGATTTTAAGGACACACTTCAGTATTGTAACATTCCTGTTGCTGTATGGCTGTCATCAACATCATATCTAGAACCTTTTCATCCTCTTAAACATTAGCTGTGTTTGTTAAACCGCTTTTCACCCCTTCCCTCCAGCTCTTTTCATCTATGGCTTTCTTTTTTAAATTTGACTACTCTGAGTACCTCTTGTAAGTAGAATCATGCAGTGTTTGTTCCATTGTGACTGGCTAATTTTACTTGGTGGAATGTTCTTAGGGTTCATTATACCAGATTTCCCTTTGTTTTGCAGGATGGGTAATATTCTATCATGTGTGTATATCTTCTTATTAATCAGTGGAATCCTGGGTTGCCTTCACCTTTTATTTGTAATAATATGTGAACATAGGTAGGCGTACAGACAGCTACTATAGTCCCTACTTCTTGGGTGTATACATTTGAGGGAACCTGCCATACTGTTTTCCATAGAGGCCCTGCCATTTTACCAATCCCTTTACCAAGCCATAAGAGTTCAAGATTCTTTCCGTCTTTATCATACTGATTTATTTCTGAGGAGCTTTTGTGTTTGGTGGGGTTTTGTTGTTTTTTTTTGTTGTTTTATTTACAACACAAAAAAAACTTTGTAACACTGACAGCCAGAAACTGTTGACTTTGAACTCAGAGAGGAGATCTGTCACCCAAGTGTCTGACTTGGGTCTTCTGGTCCTAGCTATTCTAATAGAGCATGAACTAGCATGACCGGTTTTGATTTGGATTCCCCTGGTTAGTAAGTTTGAGCAGTTCATCAGGTGATTGTTTCCTCCTTGGAAAAATATTTATTTTCATTCTTTTTTGTTTTCTTATTTATCTATTCATTCATTCATTCATTCATTCATTTTGGGGTTTTGTTTTTGAGGTAGGGTTTCATACAGCCCAGGATAGCCTTGGGCTGACTATGCAGCCAGGGATGACCTTGAATTCCTGATGATTCTGCCTCTGCATCCCAAGTGTTCTGATTACAGGTGTGTGCCACCCGTGTCCAACTTGTCCTCTTTTTGTTTGGGGATTTTGTTTGTTTCTCCATAGGGCATCTTGCTGTGCTGCCCAGGCTGAGCCCAAATGATCCTCTTACTAGCCTTTGCAGATACTGTGTTGAAAGGTCCATACTCGCTCGGTACAGTTGTTCACTCCTGTAATCTTAGTTTTTGGGAAATTGAGGCAGTAGGATTGCCAACAGGTTCCTGGCCAGCAGTGTGAGTCCTTTTCTCAACAACAAACAGGAGTGCGTCTTGTCACAAGTTATGTGTTTTGTGTCCATTCTTATAACTGAGTTCTGTATTCTAAATATTTAGTCCTGATCAGATAATGATATATCAATATCTCCTTACTCTTGTAGATTATTTTAATTCTGTTGCCACCGGTGTATTCTGATGCAGAAGTGTTTTTAATTTTGTGACCATTTCTTTATGTTTTCTTCAAGTGTTTTATGTTTAGTTTGTAATGTTTATGTCTTTGATGAATTTTGAATTAATTTTTGAACATAATACAAGAGTATAACCTGAGTCTTGTTATTTTTTTCTAAATAGAGAATGAAATCAAATTTTACAATATTAAAATAAGACATTTTTTCCTGACATGCATACATACACACAGTTCCTTGTGCTTGCGCACACTGTCTCTCCAGCCTCTTGTACAGCTGTGTTGAGACCTCTGCACTGAGCAATGTGAAAACATTTTTTTCTTGTCTCCTTAGAGCCAAGATTCAGGGTCTGACAATCGTATCAATACAGTCAGTCTCAAGGAAGCACTGGAAAGGTTTGATCACAGCCCAACTCCATCTGCCTCTTCCAGAAGCTCACGAAAGTCATCTCACACAGCGGTCTCGGACCCTTCCTGTAAGTTCCCTGACCCGGGGACAAGTGTGGGTCTCAGAGAGCTCTTCTAAGTTATCTGTGCTGCTGACACCAGCACTTCTGTCCAGAGTTCTTCTAATTCTAAGTTTTTCTGTTTTGAAGTACAGTAACCTTTCTAGTAAGAAGCAAGTTATTTATCTTTGGAAAAGATTTAAGGTCATCAGATGATGATAGATAGATGGTAATGTTCTGCTTACCTTTTACATGGTTCCCTTATAAGAAAAAATACTACCTTTTATTGTAAACCAGGTGGGTATCAGCCGCCACGTGAATGGTGGAAATGGAACCCTGGTCCTCTGCAATAATAAGGACTGTTAACCATTGAGTGTTGTGGATAGAGTCTAGCCCTAGCCTTTTCTTTAATTTATGGAGACTTAGGTAATTGCCTTTAAATTGTAGTTGGTCCTCTGTATCTACAGCTGGTAATAGGAAATGCCTTCTCCATTGTCTGTATGAGCATGTGCAGGCTTCTTTCCTTGCTATTATTTTCTAGTACTATTGTATTAGGTATTAGTAATCCAAAGTTGATTTGAATTATACAGAAGAATGTGCCTCACTGATAAACAAATACTATGCTATCTGCTAGAAGACACCTTAGTGTGCATGGATTTTTATACCTGCAGGGAGCCCTGAAGCCTAGCCTTTGAGGGAATTGAGGAGAACGGGAGAAACTATTTTCAAAGTTTTCTGTCACACGTTTTCTTTATCCTTAAAAAAGAAGTAATTAAAATTACTCTTATAAACATGGATTTATCTATCTCATAACAGAAAGCTAACTCAGTCATTTCTATTCATGAAGCATATTTTGAGATTAACCATTCAGATCTGTTTGTAAGCACTAATTCTGTTCTTTGTTAACTAACTTCAGCAACACCGACAAAGATCCCTACTGATACTAGCACTCCTCCCAGACAGCATTTGCCAGCTCACGAAAAGACGACACAGCGGAGGCCATCCTTCAGCAGTCAGGTATGTGTGTTAGTCAGCCCTCACAGCCTTCAGCAGTCAGGTGTGCGTGTTAGTCGGCCCTAACAGCCTTCAGCAGATTCCCTGTTGCAGTAACAGATGACAAAGATACCCTTTCTGTAAGAATCACAATTTCTGCAGACATATGACACTCAAAATCTTTCCCATTTTACAGATAAAATGCTAGATAATGATTTTTTTTAATTGTGAAAAATGCTAATTGAGAGCTGTGAAGTTCCAGTTGCCTTCAGTTTAGTCTACCCAACTTGCAATTGAGTGTACATCCAAGGGCCTCTGCTTGGATACCATGGGAAAAAAGATAAAAAGAATAGAAAGGGCGACATACTTTGTACTCAACAAAATAGAAGGTTGTCAGTGATAAACACATTGTATTGGTGTTTGTGGTGGAAGTCCTCCTAGATGAGTATGAGCATCACTTCATTGTCATTTTTTATTTTGCTTCTAGTCCATAAACTCCCAGTCTGTTGGTCCATCATTAACACAGCCAGTGATGTCTCAAGCTGCAAATTTACCAATTCCACAAGGCATGTCACAGGTATTTTTGTTTGTTTTAGTAATTGCATTTAAGCAAATATGATTTTATACATATGTATATATAAATACATATACTTATATGGGCAGTAAATCTTAATTGGAAATATTTAGAATATGTAGTGACATTTTAGTTACCCACAATGATTTTGGGTACCCCTGGACCCTTACTAGGCAGAATCACAGGTGCATATGTCTTTTAAGATTCTTGATGGTCTTATACAAAGAATTTTCTTGCTTGCTGTGTTATAGCATCTTACATATAACAACAGCTTATAGGTATGATTTTAGACATGAGATATACTAGTTCATTTTGTTCTTCCTATGGATATTGGAAGATTTGAGTAATTTACATATTAATTCGTTTGCACATGGGGCATTGAGTTCTATGTATGTATTGAGTTACATATATCAGGAATGCGGACAGTATTTGTAATATCTATATTAATAAGCTACTTGATCTAGAATATATGACATATAACTAAAATATCATGTTATGTAGTCTACATACAAGACTTGGATCCTTAATGCAACTTAAACAAGTGTGAGACGCCAAGGCTGGTGGTACATGCCTGTCCTAACAATGTGGAAGGTAGGAGCCAAAAAATCAGGTGTTCAGGGTTATCCATTGCTATATAGTGAGTTCACAACCAGCCGCCAAAAGCAAAACCAAAATAACAACAAAAGTGAAGGAAAGCTGTTTAGAAATGTGAGATGGCCTGAGTCCTGAGGAGAAGTGAGTACTGAAGTTAGCAAAAGGAAAGAAGTTCCCCAGCGCACTGCTGTATGCCTCTTAACTGTGGTTATAGCTCGTTTAAAGTTTCAGAAATATTAGTGAATTATTACAGTAATAAATATAGTAGGAAATCTTCAGTTTTATTTGACACTAAAAGCTGATTGGTAGCAACATTACCCTGTAAGAGCTCTATAACAGTACTGTATTATTAAATATCAAATTGAATCGTCAAATTTTATTTATTTTGAAGTATTGACAGAATTTTTATGTAATATGCAGACATACTTTCAATATTATTTGTTCTTTAATTTTATTATGAGTAAAACATTATCAACATCTTTATAGAGGTGTTTTTATGAAATATATAAGTAATATATACTATGTCAAAAATGGTGCTAAGCATTCAGTCCTCCTACTTTCACTGGCTAAGTAAAGCTCAGTACTTTGCTTTTTTGTTCTGTGGATTTATTTCCTGTTATCTTCTATCTTCTGTGCTTGTTTCTATTTTTTTGGTTTGTGTTTAGTAGAAATGCTTTAAATTGTGACAACATGACATTTACCTATAGGAAAGAGTAACTTTAGTCACAATAAAATACATGTGTATGACATAAAAATAAATATAACATATTTTAACTAACATTTTTAAAAAGCATGAGAAAGTTGAGGTACTAAATTTATAATTTTTTTCAAGCCAAGCAGAATCTAATACATGATATCAGTTTGTTGTTGTCATCTTCAAAGGTCAAAGTTTCATGCTTTAAAAGCTATTATTCAGAAGCCAAGCATGACGGTGCAATACCTGGTAGGCAGAGGCAGGAGGATTACTACAAGTTTGAAGCGAACCTGATGTATGAAAGAGAGCTCTAATCCAACCAGAGCTACATAGTGAGGCCATTTCAAGAAAATAAAGAAAAGTAATATTTAGCATCTTTAGCACAAACTTAAAAAGAACTCATTAATTTAGGACAACCTTTTTGAAGATAGAATATGGAAGGGTAGGGTGGGCATTTCCTGCTTTTAGGTACAGTTCAATGCAGGAAACTATGAACCTAGATTTCCCATAAAGTGAAATGCTCTATTATTACATAGTACAAGCTGTTCATGGAAATAAATGAGTAATGAGTCATCGCATGTACCTGAATTGTAGGAACAGCTTATTAATCGGATATAAAAGCCAGAAGATTGAAATCCCTGAATATAGAATGACTTTCTTCATTCATGTGTACATTCATTTATAATTTCTTAGAATTCCTTAGTCTTTAAAAAAAAACCTGTGTTTTAAACTGGTCTAAGGATAGTATCACTGCAAAGTAGTTTTTTCAAAACAGTATGAGAATGAAATTATTGGTTATTTGTCAGATGTAAATAAGCGATTTTTTGTATATGTGGGGAAGGAAGATACTGGGAACTGAACTCGGGGTCTTGAACATCCTAGGGAAATGCTCTGTATTTGAGCCCTCAAGCCCTTTTTTTAACTTTTTATTTTGAGACTCCTTTTTATTTTGATACCTAGCCTTAAAATGTTGCCTAGGCTAAACTTGAACTCACTCTGCATCCCAGATAGGTCTTGGATTTATGATCCTCCTGCCTAGCTTTGGGTAATTCTGCCAATGTACACACAAAGGGCCCTCTAGAGATGACAGTTTGCTTTGGGTTCATTCCAGCTGCGGGGTTCATTCTCCTCTGGTAAAATGTAGACATGAAATGAGCAGCTAAAGAACTTGTTTTGCTAAGTTGTTGACATACAGATGAGTTCAGGTTGTCCTTTTGCTTTCTTTTTTTAAGAGTTGGGCCCACTTTTTAGCCCTGACTGGTCTAAACCATTCTGTGTAGACCAGGCTGGCCTCAACCTCACAGAGATCCACCTGCCTCTGCCTCCCAAGTGCTAAGATTAAAGGTGTGCACCACCACACCTAGAAGCACTCAACATCATCTAACTGCAGATTGTTCCTGTAATTAGTCAAGATCGAGTCAGATGTCAGAAGCATACCAGAATTCAAGCAGAGGTAATAAAAGATGTATTAGCTAGTAACTGAAAGAAGAATCTCTAAAAAATGTTAAGAATAGGAAGGTAAGCCAGATAAGTGGATAAGGTACCTACCTACTGCCAAGCCCGACAGCCTGAGTTCTGCCCCAAGACCTGCGTGGTAAAGGAGAGAACTGACTCCTCCAGGTTGTCTTCTGACCTACACACACATTTTGTGACATGTGTCCCTCCCCATGTAGTAATTGTAACTTTAAAAAAAATGATATGAGAACAGCCACTTATCATAAATCAAGGGGAGCACAGCCAAGGACAGACATACGGACGCAGCCTCCTGAGCAGCTCTTACCCTGCACTAGATGGGCTTTTTGTGGCTGGAACCACTGAGTAGAGAAGTGCGCTGAGCTGTCATGGAAGGAAGCCATCTGCTGGGAAAGTGAGACTTTCTGGGTGAGCCAGGGGCATTGCATGGGGAGGAACAGCTACCACTGGCACACGTGACAGAAGAGAAGGCCCCACCCCCCCAGCACCAGGAAGATAAGCACCTCTGTGGCAGCTTCCTAGGGGTCTGCAGGCAAAGACTGTGATTTTAAAGTCTAGCTCCAGTGTCACAAGGAGAATAAAGATGGTGGTTTGGGAACTGACATTCTGGTCTCGTGGCACTGCTTGCTTTTCACAGCGCACAGGTATCAGGACCAGGGAATTCTAAGGTGTGTTATGCTTTCTTTACATGTGCTGCTGCAGTTTCAGTTTTCAGCCCAGTTAGGAGCCATGCAGCATTTAAAAGACCAGCTGGAGCAGCGGACACGGATGATAGAGGCAAATATTCATCGGCAACAAGAAGAGTTAAGGAAAATCCAAGAACAGCTTCAAATGGTCCATGGTCAAGGGCTTCAGGTAAGTTATTCTGAGCACAAAGAATCTCATTCACAGTTTGGGTTCCTAAAAATTGCCTCCCCCCACTTAAATGAAAAGTCAGGTGCAAGAGTTGTATTTTTCCCAGTTCAGTATACATTTGTAGTAGGGGGCTGCTTAGACCCAAAATAATCACACAGAAACTATATTATTTACAGCATTGTTTGCCCAATAGCTTAAGTGTATTGCTAGCTAGCATTTAGAATTAACCCATCTCTATTCATCTGTGTATTGCCACGTGGCTATGGCTTACCAGCAAGGTCTGGCTCCTCTGTTCCCAGTGACTACATGGCATCTCCTCCCTCTGACTCCACCTACTTTCTCTCTATATATATATATATCTCTTCCAACCTTATATTCTGTTAAGTCATTGGCCAAAAGCAGCCTCTTTATTCATTAATCAATAAAAGCAACACATATATGGAAGGACTTCACACACTACACATTGGCTATGTGCTTAATTCTAGAACCTTCAAAGATACTCATTCTGAGAGCATTGCTGTCAGCATCATTGCTTTTTAGACTAACAAACTTCAATTTTAGTAAGTTCAAATCCATAATTAAAAAAGTTTTACTTTGTAGAACCTTTAAGGTAGAGAGTTTATATGTTTTAGTAAAATGCCAATAGATATGATTCCTATTACTTGACTGACATTATACTTAGTACTTGACTAACAGGGATGTGTACGGAACTAGGGCTATGCTGAAGGGGAACTAGGTGAACACTCTCCTGTGTACTGTCATGAACTCTGAGTAATGGATGGTACAAAGCTGCCAGCAGCAGCCCTTTGACAAGCACTGAATAGCACAGTTTATCTTGTGGCTGAGAAAGAATGTGTATCTTCATAGTTTATTGTCATTACTGCTAATTGGTCTCGCAAAATGTGCTAATTACTTGTTACTTGACTGTTAAATTTCATTTTGCTTGGCTTCTTTCAGTATTCTCCTTGGTCTTTTTTTTTGTTATTATTATTTAAAACCTGTAATGCTTATTTAGGCTGGGAATATAGCTTATTGGTAGAGTGTTTACCTAAAATTCTTGAGGCCCTGATTTGATTCCCAGCACCCTCACAAAAAAATGTAATTAAAAATTGTGTGTGTGTGTGTGTGAGAGAGAGAGAGAGAGAGAGAGAGAATGTGAGCATGTAAGCATGTATGTACTACAGAATATATGTGGAGGTCAGAAGATAACTTTGGGGACTCTATTTCTTCCTTCCACCATGGGATCCAAACACCAAACTCAGACTGCCAGGCTTGTGCAGCAAGCTGAGCCTTCTGCCAAAGAAAGTTCACTGAAATGTAATCTTTATTTTCAAAGATGTTTTTGCAACAATCGAACTCTGGATTGAATTTTGGTTCCGTTCAACTGGCCTCTGGAAATTCTAATATCCAGCAACTTACACCTATAAATATGCAAGGCCAAGTCGTTTCTGGTAGCCAGATTCCAAGTGGAATGAATACTGGACATATGACCACAAACCAGCATGTGATACAACAGACTCTACACAGTACGTCAGCTCAGGTAATGGACCAAAATGTCTGCCTAAAACTCTGTGCTGCATCAGCTTTTAAATTTTAATAAAAATTAGAACATGCAATATTGACAACGAGCATTAAAGTATTTTGTAGAAAATATGTTACTATTAAATATTTTGATATTTAAGAATTTTATGTTTTATGGACCTAGTTTAATAATTATACTAGATTCTTATAATATGCAGACTTTCTGTATGTAAAAGTCTTTGATTTGCAAGAACTTCTTCAATAGAAAGCATACTGAATAGAATGTTGTGGAAGTGGGAATAGTTTAATCATTCTGTAGAATTCTGGTAATTAATTAGTGTTCATCTGTTACTATATTTGAAAAACATACTATGTGAACATCACTGACTTGCTTTGAGCCTTTAACAGACGTCTTTGTATATTTTTTACTTCCCTGTTAAGATCATGCTTCTTTTAAAGTATTAGCTTACTTTCCATCGAAGAATCCAGACTAAGTCAACTATTCCAAATCCGCCTTTTTTGTATTTCTCTCAGAATAATATATTTTGCTAGTCCATTTCTGTTCTGTCAGCCATTGTTAAATGGTGAATAGTAAAAGCATGCCATCCTATAACTGTTAGATAATCTCTATAAAATCTTCATTTCCAGCAGAGTCAACAGAGTGTAATGAGTGGACATAGTCAGCAGACGTCTCTTCCAAGCCAGACGCCCAGCACTCTCACAGCCCCACTGTACAATACAATGGTGATCTCCCAGCCTGCGGCCGGGAGCATGGTCCAGATCCCATCCAGTATGCCCCAGAACAGTACTCAGAGTGCTACGGTAACTACGTTCACTCAGGACAGACAGATAAGGTGGTTGTCGTACTTCATTTATTATTTTCAGAGTTGTAAATTTAACAGTGCTTAAGAACACTTGCTTCTCTTTCAGAAAGACGAGTTCAGTCCCCAGCTCTCCCCTTCTGCAGCCACAGCTCCTTAACTCCAGCTGCAGGGGTTCTCATGACCTCTTCTGGCCTGCTCCATGCCTCTATGCATGTGGCAGACACAGGAAAAGAAAACCATAGAAACAAATATGTAAAAATTTCTGGATGGGCTAGTGATACAAGTCAGGAGTAGAGAAGTTGCCTGCGTTCAATCCTCAGTATTGCACTTTTCTCCAAAACCATTCATTTCAGTTTTTACCATGAAATTTTAGTTTATTGCTTACTATACCCATTTTTTTAAGATTTGAAGTAAATACTGTATCTCTTATAGTAAAGATTTAACAGAATAGCATCAAAATTTACTTTTCACCCTGAGCTGGGCTGTCAGATAGAGAAGCCCATTTTGTAGGCACTGTCACACAAGCTTCAGTGGGCTCTGTCCACGTGCCGCTGGGGTCGTAGGGAAGCGTTAGCAGAGCAGCACTGGGGTAGCTAGATGAGCTGGCATGGAGTTTGGGGACCCGGGAAGAGGGAACATATTCCAATAGATATTTCCTTTCCACAGGAAATGAGAGATTAATGAAAATAAAAGAATAACCAGCTTGCATATACTTGGTGTGATAAATATTTGGCAGACTTTATAGGGGGACTGGGGTTCAATCTTTGGCACTGCAAAAATAATAAGTAAACTTTTTTGGTCATGTGGATGGTATTAGTAATAAAGCACACATCTATACAGACTTCATGCTGTTTGTGCTGCGATTCTCTCATGTCTGCTGTAATCATGACTACTCCCTTGTCAGTGCTAGCAGTGAACTTCATCAAATGGGAAAGGCCCACAGAAGGAGTTCTGTCACCAGAGAATGGAAGACCATGAGTAATATTCTGTATTGATAAATTTCACTTTGATTTATCCTTAAAAATGTCATTTTCCTTACATTTATAAAATAAAAACCTTGAGTATAATTTTCCTATAAATGTAAATTTTTTAAAAATGATTTTATAGTAGTTGTAATTTTCTCATGAATTGTTTGCCATTGTAGTCAATGAACTTTCTTTACCATATATTTAACTCCTAAGTATCTTACTGTTTTATAAAAAGTGAACTTTTATAGAGTTAAAAGTTTTAATTGATAAAATATAGACAACAAAACTTCTGTGTTAATATTTATTTATTTAGGAGTTTTTTATTTTTTAAAAAAGCAAACTATCTTTTTTTCATTATACATACCAATCCAAGTTCCCACTCCCTCCTCTCCTCCCATTCTGTCCACTTACCCTCACCCCACCACCCCTCATCCACTTCACAGAGAGGGTAAGGCATATATGCTTTGGGATAGGTCAAGGCCCTCCCTGCTATATCTAGGCTGAGCAAGGTATCCATCCAAAGAGAAAAGGTTCACAAAAAACCAGTACATGCAGTAGGGATAAATCCTGGTGCTACTATCAGTGACCCCGCAGTCTGCCCCAGCCATGTAACTGTCAACCACAATCAGAGGGACTAGTTTAGTTCTATGCTGGTTCCTTCCCTGTCCGGCTGGAGTTGGTGAGCTCCCATTAACTCAGGTAGACTGTTTCAGTGGGTGTCCCCATCATGGTTTTGACCTCTTTGCTCATATTCTCACTCCTCCCACTCTTAAACTGGACTTTAGGAGCTCAGTCCAGTGCTCTGATATGGGTTTCAATCATCAGTTGCTGGATGAAGGTTCTATGGTGACATTTAAGATAGTCATCAATCTGACTACAGGGCAAGGCCTGTTTGGGCACCTTCTCTGTTGCTTAGGGTCTTAGCTGGGGTCATTCTTGTGGATTCCTGGGAATTTCTCTAGAGCAAGGTAGCCCCATAATGGCTCCCTCAATCAAGATATCTCTTTCCTTTCTCTCATCTTTGTCCTTCCTTCATCTCAACTATCCTGGTCCCTCAAGTTCTCCATTCCCCCTCCCCTTCTACCCTCCTTTCTCTCCCCCCCACCCCCATGTTCCCAGTTTCGTCAGACAATCTTGTCTATTTCAACTTTCCAGGTGGTTCTATGTATGTTTTTCTTAGGGTTCACTTTGTTACTTAGCTTCTCTAGGATCATGAACTATAGGCACAACATCCTTTGTTTATATCTAGTATCCACTTAGGAGTGAGTACATACCATATCCATTTTTTTGGGTCTGGATTACCTCACCATCCATTTGCATGCAAATTTCAAGATTGACGCTTTGGGTTTGTGGTTGTTGTTGTTGTTTTGAGACAGGATTTCTCTGTGTAGGTCTGACTGTCCTGGATCTCCTTTTGTAGACTAGGCTCACCCTGAGATCTGCCTGCCTCTGCCTCCCAGGTGCCGTGATTGCAGGCGTGCAGCACTACTGCCTGGCTATGTATTAACTGTTTTAAAGTGTGCTGTCCTGTGGCCTTGAGTATATCCACACGTGGTTCCAACTATCACCCTCAAACATCTTCAGAGCATTTTTTATCTTTCCAAATTGAAACTCATTAAACAACTCCTTAACCTTTCTGCCTGTTGATTTTAGCAACCACCATTCTGTTTTCCGATTATACAAATTTGACTGCCTAAAGATACTTTGTGTAAATTAATTACCCAGTAATTTATCTTTTTGTAACTGTTGTATTTCACTTAACAGAATATTCTCAGGGCTCATCTGTGTTTTCAGATCAGATTCATTTTAAGGCCAAGTGTTCTTCTGTATGTTATACGTAGGTAGCATTTTTCTTACCATTCTGCCAGTGGATATTTGGGTTGCTTCCATACCTCGGCTGATGTCAGTAAACACAGTTGTGCACAAAGCATCCTCATGTGATCTTCCTGCCTATTGCATTCTCTGACTCAGTGCTGAGAAATGGACTTCTTGTAATTCTTTGAGGAACTGTTACAGGGTTGTCCTGGTTAGGGTTGGTTGGTTGGTTTTGTTTTTCTCAACTTGACACAAGCTGGAGTTAGTAGGAAGAAGAATCTCAATTGAGAAAACAGAATACCTCTATCCTGTTGTCTGTAGGCAATTTCTTGAAGAATGATCAATGTGGAGGGGCCCTGCCTATGGGGCAGTGCAGTTCCCTGCAGATGGTTCTGGGCTGTATGAGAAAGCTGTAAAGGGTGCTTCTCTCTTCTCTCAACTCCAGTTCCTCCCTCCATTGTTCCTGCCTTGGCTTCCCTCCGTGGGCTGTGATTTGGGATTCTGTAAGCCAGATAAACCCTGTCCTCCTCATGTTGCTTTTTGGTCCTGGTGTTTTATCAAAGCAATAGAAAGAAAATTAAGAAAACGGTTTTCCTAGTCTGTTACAGTTTTCTGTAATAGTGACCTGATTGGCACACAGTGGCTTTCCACTGCTATTTTATTTTCATTTCTCTAATGATTAAGTCTGGTGAGGAGTTTTTATGTGTCTCTTGGCTATTCGTAATTTTTGGAGAAAACGTTTAACTTTTGTCCAGTTTTTAAATGTGTTGAGTGTTGTTTGATTGCAAGAGTTCTTTACATGTCTGGCCAAGCTTGATGTCATTCAGTTAATTTTTTATTTAATGTTACCTACCTGTGCTTTTGGCATCGATAGTGATAATGTTGCCAAGCCCAACATCATGAAGCTTGTGTGCCTTTTTTTTCCCTAAGAGTTCTGTAGTTTATATCTTATGTTTAGAACTTTTATTCATTTTGAACTAATTTTTATATATGGCATGGCAGGTCCTTCATTATCTTGACTATGAGTATTTTTTTAAGTTGTTTTGCTATGTCTCTGTTTTTGTTGTCATGTTTTATATTACAAACTCTGTGTGTGTGTGTGTGTGTGTGTGTGTGTTGTTTGTTTGACTGACACCCCCCCAGGAAAGAGCCCTTTAAAATTGTTTTTGGTGCTGGAGGTTGACCCCAACATGCTATACAAGCAAGCCCTCTGCCACTGAGCTAAAGCCCTAGCCTCCAAGGAGAATCTCTGAAAACGGAAACTAGGAACATAGTCTTTTATAAAATAAATGAACCATTTCATTGGGTATTATCTAAGATAAATATTACCTGACTTGAGTTATGTGTGGTCCTTTTGATACCATTTCTTTGTTTTCTCTCACAGATTTTCTCAAGGTCAGCAGCTTGTGACCAAATTAGTGACTGCTCCTGTAGCCTGTGGGGCCGTGATGGTGCCAAGTACCATGCTCATGGGCCAGGTGGTGACTGCCTATCCGACCTTTGCCACACAACAGCAGCAGCAGCAGCAGCAGCAGCAGCAGCAGCAGCAGCAGAGTTCCCAAGAGCAGCAGCTTCCTGCAGTTCAGCAACCATCTCAGGCCCAGCTGACCCAGCCACCACAGCAGTTTTTACAGGTAAGTCTCACCGTGGGGAAGTTGCCTTGAGCTGATTGCCTATTTTATAACCAAACAAGATGATAAATGACCAGGGTTGTAAAAGACCTGGAAAATCTGTAAAGGCTTATTGTAGGATTTAAATATCTATAGAAATAGAAAGCTTGTCCTAATAGGCTATTTTATGTTTTCTTCTTCAGTCTTGGAAGACTTTTAAAACCTTGTCTAGCCAAACTTAGTTATCTGACCTTCTGGCCAGAGTAAGTGGCCTACTTCCTGACCATATCAAATCGCTTATTAAGCCCATTTTCTCTCTCAGGCTAATATTTCAAGAATTTAATAAAAAAAAGGTCCCGTTTTCTTTCTTCAGTACCTTCAAACTACTCTTCACCCAGCATCAAGAACGATCCCTTTTTTAGCCTAGGAGTTTCCTTAATCATCAGATAAAATTTTATTAGATTGTGATTTTGTTGTGTTTGTTGTGCCTGGCCTGGAACTCATGCAGATCTTCCTGCCTCTGCGTTCTGGGATTACAGGTATGCACTATCATGCCATATTATTGGAATTTTCTTCTTATAAATTAATGTCAGAGGAGAAATCAGTGTAGGTGCAGTATAGTTTGTCACTAGAACTTAGGCTCTAAAGTCAGGGTGCCCTCAGATTGAATAATCGCTATACCACATACACATGACCTTTGGGATAGCACTTAAACTTGTCAAACCTCATTGGTGCATTGGATGTAATAGTTTATACTTCATAACACTGTAAGGTGTATAGCTAGCTGTCATTGATGACCATGGTACTAACAAATGTAGTAAGACATTCATATTAATGACAAAACCCACCCAGATGCCATGGGGATGAACCTATCCATAGGTCCAGAAGAAAGTTCCCCTGGGTTAGGATCCTCAGCCAAGAACCAACAGAACTGGTTTCTAGACTCCAGTGTTGGAGAATCTGGTGTTTTTTCTACAAGAGGCCATCTAGGCTAGGTGAAATTCTTATTTTGGTAACATGGAGTACTGAAACAGCCTTATTGCTTAAATATTTGAGTCACACCCACAGGACTCAAGTCTGAACTACTTCAATTAATAACTGGGTTAGCTATTATTATAAATAATAAAACAAGTCTTAGGCTATTATTTAGGTGATATATATAAATACACATATAATATATATATATATATATAATATAAAATCTCCAGTGAGATTTAAACAAAAGCTTTAAAAAATATGATTTGCCTTAAGGTCTAGTATTTTGAATCTATCAAAGAAGATAGGCCTTTAAAAAGAATGAGTGTTTGGGACCAGGGAGACAGCTCAGTAAGTGAAGGTACTATCTTCTGAACCTGATGTCCTGAGTTCAGTCTCAGATTTCTACACAGTGAAAGGAGAGAACTGACTTCCACAACTGTCCCATGACTCCCACATGTGAACCCTAATAGTTGTACACACAAACAGAATAAATATTTATAAGATGAATATCCTCTTCTTCCTTGCCCCCACTACAAACATGCATCCCCAAAACATAAATACTTTGATAAATACATAATTTGGCTTTTCTAATGGACCTCTGTTTGAAAATGGATTATAGTCAGAGAAGTAAATGCCATAAATCCATTTGACTTACCAAGGTTTTTCTGGTAGCAAATCAAGAAGAAAAATTGTAAGTAAGGTCCTTGTCAAGTTTTGTCATCTCACAGTTTAAGTCTGTACTTAGGCTTGAGCACATAGGTTCTCTTCATACACATTTGCACATGTTACTAGTTTCAGTTTAAGGATGTCTCAGTAAGTGTGTGCTGTCTTTCAAGTTGTTCACTTGAAAATTCTCCCACTGTCTCAGCTAGTCCATTTTTGTGAGCCAGGAGTCAAAATGTGACGAAAGAAACACTCAAAGTTGAGGCTTTCAGTTCTGACATATTGATTAGTGATGGTAGACCAGTCCCTGTTTGGGGGAGGGGCTATTTTTGTTTTGTTACTTCATAAGGCCACATAGGACTTCAGCCTCCACCTGTGCCCTCCTTTTTTCTATAATGCTTCATAGACACTTGTACTGAGGGAAAGGCTGAGGGTGGGAAAAGTAGACCGCTTGATAGTGTCACACATCTGCAGGTGGACCAGCTCAAGCTAACCCAAGTGTACTTAAGGCCTGTGCTTTTCTGACTCCTCCGGGTGGGGGAGGTAAGCTAGTGTGTGCAAGTTCAAAAGTATGGAGGCCAACAGTCAGCCCTCGGGACTTGCTCCTTGGTCTACCTCGTCGTTCTGAAACAGAGCCGAATAGGAACCTGGGGCTCACTTACTAGGGTAGGTTGGCTGACCAGTGAGCCTCAGGGATCCTCCTGTCTCCACCTCACCCATACTGGGATTGCAAGCACTTATGGGCAGAGCTATTTTCTTAACTCTGGTCTTGATTCTTAACCAGCAGGCAGACGTGTGTGCAGACGGCACTGTCTGTCTGACCAGGGAGTATCCGTGTCTTATACAGACACAGCTGTGCTCCAGTTTCACTGCCTAAATTTGGGCCCGGAGGAAATAAAATAAAAATATGCAGCTTGTCTCAAGACAGTAGTATTTTATACCATTAAATTCTCAGCACAAATTCCTTTGAATTATATTTTGTTATGCTTTCAGAAAAAAGGTAAGGCTTCTGTTTTCCAAAAAGTGTTTAGATTAGTGAACAAAATGAGAATTTAAAGCTCTTGTCCCTGTGGACAGCGGACAGTGTGAATGGACAGTGTGAAGACATAAATCCTCCTTTTGTTTCGCAGACACCTAGGTTGCTCCATGGGAATCCTTCCGCTCAGCTCATCCTCTCTGCTGCCTTCCCACTACAACAGAGCACCTTCCCTCCGTCGCATCACCAGCAACACCAGCCTCAGCAGCAACAGCAGCAGCAGCTTAGTCGGCACAGGACTGACAGTCTGAGTGACCCTCCCAAGGTCCAGCCACAGTAGCACACACACTTCCTCTCTGACACTAGAGAGGAAGGGGATGGCCAGAAAGTCACTCAGATGACATACGGTTAGAAGTTTAGCAGTTCTGTGAGGGTAGTCTTGAGTGTTCCAGTTCCTGGATTAGTTGGAGATGCTGCCCAGTGCTACAGATGTACATTAAATACCAGCCAGTGGGGGATTGTAGAGACACAGCCAATTGGACAGTTTCTTTGCCCAGATATTTTTTTGATGGAGAAAGAGTATATTGCCAAATGTTAACAAGCTCAACTATCCTGACCTTTACCGAATCAGAAAAGCACTGACAGTGTTGGTAGCTTTAGTGGTTCTGTGCCTGGTATCATGTTACAGAGGACACACCACTGCCAGGGGTTTGCTTAGATTGCCATGAAGATAGTCCAGTAGTTAGTAGTCCCCACTCCAAACTCCCCTCCCTGCTCAGATAATGATGGATCAGTGATTCCTTTCAGAATGTTGTGCAGGTTTGAATTCTCTGTATAGACGCTATATAGATGTGTGTATGTCTGGATGGAGGAGAGAGCAAACCTTTGCGCAGCATGAAAGCATTATCTGTCCCTTACAGGTATGAGTACATTTCATTAGATTTTGACACCATGTACAAACTGATAACACCTCCTTTTCATTTTGTTTACAACATAATTGTGTTCTAGTCACTTTTTCCAGGGCACAAGTCTTTTTGTTTGTGCTTTGGCTGTGGTGTCAGTTTGTTCAGTGAGATATAATGTGCTGCTGGGAATGGATTTTTTTTTTCAGGTTAAATTATTGCTATATTTCTTTCCATTTATTCAGAAATATCCCTATTTCATTATTTTAATTATGTTTGAAAATAGAATTGCACTGTTTTATTTTGGATGGTTGGTTGAGAGTCTGATCATGTATTTTGATATATTTCATAGTTGGAATATTTATGTAAATGGTTTTCAACAAGCCTGAAAGTGATTTCAAGAATGTTTCAGTTATAAGAGTCAAATTTGCACACAGAACATTTTAGGCACTTTTTAACATTCTCAGTGGTGGGAATTTTAACTTTTAGGATTTGTTGGAATCCTTTTATTATCCTTAAAAATTTCAATGCTTCTTTTAGTCAAAATGATTCAGGGTTATTTGAGGGGGAAAAACCCATAGTGCCTTGATTTTAATTCAGGTGATAACTCACCGTCTTGAACTCATTGTCTGGTTTCAGTAGCAGTTTTGAAACCTTAGTACATTTTTAGCAGCATGTGGGTCTCAGTGTCATCTCCAGTTCCCGTGAAGACTGCTCCGTCTCATGGGCCACCTGAGTAGTATCACAGTTGTTAATGTGATCCCAAAATTATTTCCAAATTCTTTCTTCCTTTAAAGCTAAGTAGTCCTTTAAGAATTACTGGTAAGCACTTGCTCAGAGGAAGGGTAGGAATTGCCTTTAACCTTTGTCGAACCACGACTGTAACTCACATGCTTTCTAAACATGAATTAAGATTTCATCTGGCAATATCATACTCTACAGGTAATATACTCCAACGAAGTTACATAGATTTTAAAAGGCTTTTTTTTAGATTTTATGGTACTAATAATGAAATTTTCAATTATAGAACAAACGAGAAATAGAAAATAGAATATAAAATATTACTGGGAAAAGGGAAGACAAGTGTGGCAATTTAGAATTGACTTTAAAAGAAAGTGTGTACCGGGTGAGGCTGCTAAACAGAGGTTCTCAGCAGTGAAAATAACCTAATGCAGAATTTCTAGATAAGGGCTCTGGGGAACACGGAGTCAGGTATCTGTCCTCAGCTTTGTTGTCATCCTTACGTATGTCTTTGTTTTCCTGTTTACCTGGCTGCAGTTAAGTTAGAAAGTTAGTGGTGAAAAAGAACAGAACCAAAGAAAATTGGTACCTACCCTTCTGCAAAGAATCGTGGCTAGATACCAGTCAGTAACCGACATATCAGTCTTCTAGTTGACACTCACATGGACACCCGAAGAGCGGGGAGAACACATGTATGTATATCAAGCTTATATACATGTGATGAAATTAATGTGAAATAGAGCACCCACATTGCTTTTCTCCCCTTCCAAATTGCCTTCTTGATCTTATGCCATTCCATGTCATCTGAGTTGTGCCTCATTTACTTTTTGGCAATACCTAGTGATAAGGATTTAGCTAACAGGAGATACAACGTACTAATTACGTAATTCTTGTTCTCCACAGTTCATCTTCCTGCTTCAATGCAGTTGATAATGGAGCACCAAGCCACTAACTTAGGTGTCCTGTCCACGTGGAGCGCGGTGCTAGGCAACACTTGTCAGCATCAACTGCCTCTCAGCTCCTTAATTCTTGCTTTCCCTGAAGGCAAACTGTCCCTGTCTGTATCCTACATATATTCAGCATTCTGATGAAGGTTGATCTGTTGCCTGCTCTTCATTTCTATAGCCAAAGTTGTTGACTGAAACCTAAATCTAAAATCTAAATTATGAAAAGATACCAAATAGAAACATTTCTTAGCTTCTTATAAACTTCCCCTACTCTATTTCATGGGGATTCATTTTTCTTTAAAATTTGGATTCTGGGCAGCACTTTTTAGTTAAGAAATTGTTCAAGTGCGGGTCAGATAGGTTCTCGTTGCCCTGCAGGTACCTTGCTCTGGGCTGCTTCTGCATGGAGTGTTGCTGATCGTATGGGATGAGAACAGTACAGCCCAGAGCCTAGACATTGGAAAGTACTCCTCTTTTCTTCCTTAGAGTAGTAACTATGGAGGGGGCTGGGGAGCAGATGTGGTGGGTGGGGCTGCATACAATTGAGCACTACAGGCCCTTCCCCAAGCTCCAGCCTAAATTTAGGGGAGCTTTAGAGTGCTGTGCTCTGCTGTCGCATAGACATGGCTTAGGAATGTACTAATAAAAGAACGCCCGTGCTTTTGAATAGTTTGTGATAGAAAACTGTGCAAACTAGTGTGTGTTTGAGTTGTGTGTGCTGTAGTTGGCCGTTGCCTTAAAGCAGTCTCTTGAAGTTAGTTGGGAGCACTGAAGCAGTCCAGCTGTATAAAGGGCATTGTGTGGAGGGAGATGAGCCCTGTCCAAGCCTTAGAAAGGGACCCTAAAGTAGTTGTCTACAGAGGTAGATTCTTTTCACTTGGATATTACTGTGTGCTTAAAATGTTTCCACTACATTAAGGCATTTTTTAAAAAGTGGAACGCAGATAGCATTTCTAGTATTATTTTTTCTGTTTGGTGATTAGTTTGTTGGTAAGCATTTGTGTAAAACGCGTTCAAGCTTATCACCTTTCCAGTACCTGTGGTCCTGTTCTTAGTACCACAGAGTTCACATGGAAGGTAAAAACACTGGATATTAATATTGCTGAGGGCATATAGCCAGGAGTAAGCTGACTGGAACTCTTCAGTGGTGGAGAAGAAACAGCACAAAGGCACTTGCCATTTTCATAGTGATTAGAGAAAGAAACTTTTACGTTTGTCTGGATTGAGTGAACACTCTTCTAAGAGGAGCTTCTGAAGTAAATGCAAAGGAAAAGAGTTGACTATTTTTATAGCATATTTAATATATTTGTATATAACTATGAGTGTAGTAGGAACCCTCCACCCGCCTCCCACTTTTCTAATCCCCCTCCCCCCTTTGCCATAGCCCTAGTACAGCCTCATCCGCATGGGTAATGTGCCTATTGTCAGCCTACCTACCAAAAGATAGTGCTGCTGCTTTCTGAGACAGGTGAGACCAGACTCTCATGCCTGGGGATCCTTTATGGGAGGAATAGCACACACTTAGATCAACATACCACAGTCTAAAAGCATCATTTTGAAAGGTAATAAAGCACTTTATTGCAATTATTCATTTAGATAAAGTTTGTATCTTAGGCATTAACCATTTTTAAAGGATCCCCTAATCATCACTTAGGTGAAATTATAAATGACACATTTCTGAGAAATGTTTAGATCCAGTGAACCGTAGCAGGTTTATGGGAGTGATTTCAAGGTAGCCAAATAAACTCTGACTTTTGTTTTGAATGTCGTGGAGTCAGGAGATTGTAGATGCGTAGTTCATTTAAACACTATTGTAAACCTATCTTGCCTATTGTGTGGACACCAAAAGAGACCAATGAGCCTGTTTGTTTTCAGAGGTCTAGGAAAATATGCATCTGTCTTGAGTAGATACACAGAACTAATCTATCAATGGTTGGTAGTAATATTTTAGGATACGGTAATTTCAAGAATTATTGAGTGTTTTAAATGTGCCCTGAAATGTTGGCATGTCATTTCAGCGTTCCCACTTGAGTTGCTCTTGTAATATTTTTGCACAAAAAAGACTGAGAATGACTGCTTTGGTTGAAGAAAACTATAATTTGGTCTTATTTTAATGTCTCCTGTGGAAACACCGGAGGTAAATTTTGTTGGTAGAGTTACTAATTCAGGATATTTCAAACAGTGTTGAATAGCTCACCAGAAATTACGCAAAAGTATATATTTAAAAATTAAAATTCTTTTTTTCCACGTGACTGTTTGCATATTTTTTCTGTTGTCATAACACTACATTCCATGTTTTCCTGAAATAATAATACTTTGAAAGATGAGTATTTAACAATACTTTCTAAGTTGCCTGGGTTTTCCCAGGAAAATGTTCTAGAGAAATAGGTTGTATTTGTATATAGTTTGTGGAGACTATTGAGACACCATCAACACCACCAGCAAACACTGAGGTGCTGAACTAAGCGACAATCACCATAGTAAGTAGTTATAGGAGGTCTTAGGAGTGGTTGGAAGGAACTTGTTCCGAATGCAGTTCTCTGGGTTTCTTAAATAAAATGGCTATGTATTTATTTATATTTGTTTATCTACATTTGGTCTCCTGTATTTAATTTATGGTCAGTTTTGTTTTGCATCATTATCTTGTTCTTGGGTCTTACTTGGGGCAGCAGTTGTTACCCTGCCCCCCGTGACTCTCCACTGACAGATAATTGAAACCCATTGTACAGCAGGATGGCAGTGGTGGGTCAACCTGGACATCCCTGCACTTCCTCCTGCTCTGAACTCATTTAAGAAAAAATTTTCAAAGGTAACTCCTTTCAGCTCTGCTTTATTACATTACTCCAACCTTTTTCTAGTGTCACTTGTTGCCTTCAGTGTTTCATGGGCACTTTCTATATGGTTACTCCCCCCACACAGTCAAAGGCCAGTATGACAGAACCAAGGGCACATATGTTACATGCTGCCTTTGTTTTTGCCCATTTGGGTAAATGCTAGCAAAACAGTACCTTTTAGTGGCTGTCATCATTATTTCCACATATTGAGTCCTTACAAATAGTTACACAATGTATGCATACTGAAAACTCTTTAAAAAGTTGATTATCTTTAAATCTCCATAGCCAGCACTGACTAGTGCTTGAGCATGGGAGGCCTCGCTCTGTGAGGATCCTTCCTGCTCACCTGATGTGCATAGTACTCTCATTGTGGCTCTGGAGTCCCACAGGTAGGGTCTAACTCACAGAGACCCCGTGGAGAACAATGGTTAAAATACGATCAGAAAAACTGAGTTTAATTATGTAAAAGGTGTTTAACTCTGAGGAGGGCAAGTTGAAAATATACCATTTTTAGATACATGCTTTTAAATCAGAGAAAACAAACTGACATCGCTTTAAGAAATGATATTCAAATTGTTTGTGTTTGAGTACTGGTTCAAGTTATTGCTGACAATGGTTTTAAGAATACGACAAACCTAAAATATAGGAAAAGCTGTTATCCTGAAGTTGATGACATCTTCAAGCAAAAACACTACCCTCAAAAAAAAGTTCCTGATTAAACACTGGATGTATCAGCCAAAACAACTGGAATTTTGAAACCATTCTAAAGTTATTTTGAAATTATTTTATTGTGGCTTCAGTTGGGAGAAAGCTCTAGTGTAGCACTTTCACATTCACCCTGTGTAAGGAGTGAAGCCCAAAGACAAGTTCAATTAGTGCTGTATTAAAACCAGTTAGTGCAAAAAAAAAATATATATATATATATATATATGTTTTATCTTTGTAAACTTTGTTAAATCAGTTAGTGGTTGTATAAACATGCACCAGATTCTTTGCTGTTCTCTGTGGTTCTTGCTGTGCTGTTCTTGACATTGCTGTCCTTACTGCTTGGTTCTGGGTTTAAATGAAAACAATAGACATAGCTCATCATTTCCGGCTCCCAGGGGAGAGATACACATGGCTGCTGATCTCCAGATAAGAACCCCCCCCCCAAGCAAACAGTTCATTGAAATAAATTCAGTTATTAAAAAAGACTGGCATTCTTTCAGGTGTTACCCTTTTGCCAAAACCCTAAACTCCACAGACAAATGATGGACAATGAATGGTTTCAATGGTGCTATATTAGGGTCCCTGGTTTTCATAAGCTACATTTGGAAATACAGTATTGACTAAAATACGACTCCTGTTACCAGCTCAATATTGCCATTTTAGTTGAGTTCGATACAATTGGTTATTCTTGGTTATCAAAGTTACTTTTTAAGAAGTAACAATGTGTTGCCAGCATGCCTTCACTCAGGCCTCTTGCTGTATGAGCACAGGTTTTACTTAAATCTCCATGTACTATCAGAACGCTCTTTTCCATAGATACCTATAATGTATTCAGAATCAAAAGTTACAGCAAAAGAGCCAAGCAGTAGCAATGGTTTTTCTGTTTTTGTTTTAATGTCAAAATAATTAGATCCAGACTTTGTTTCCTTCAGTTTTAAAAATAAAGAATACCTCAGTGCTGCTTCTCAGTATGAATCACCTGCTTTCTGTGGCACATGACATGTACGAGTCACATCTGACTTACAGAAAGACTATTAAATGTTTTTAAATCTGTCAGTGACATTTTCCTTTCTTTATTCAACAGTGGGGCTTAATTGTGCTAGCAGTGTTTGCCTTGTAGCTTACATTTTAATTACCACTAGAGAAACAATCCTGCTGGTACAAGACTGCTTGCTCAGCAGTTATGCTCAGTACTCACCCTCACGTAGTCCTGGGGCTATGCTGCTGGCTGCTTTCTACAGTTGCATGGGTCTACTCATGTAGAAGGTGCAGCGTGGGGACATGGCAAGGATTTCTTTAAAGTGTTTTGTTACAATTCATGGAAACTTTCTGACCTTCAGTACTACAGTTTTTATGGAATCTGAAAACTCCTTAGAAGCTTGCAGAAAAGATTTCACCAGTATTTGCTGTTGAACAATATTTGAAAGAACAGCTAACAAAAAGTAACTTTCAACAATTTTCACTAGAGTGTTGGGTGACTTAACTGGTTCTTCACAATAGCCTCAAATTACAAATTACATGTGGACATCTAACATCACAATGTTAAACTACATTGTGCTATCATGTTCCATACAGGATACCTGAACATTTCATAAAGGAACCAGCCTTCACACTTAAAGATACCATTAATGGAATGGCAGTGCTCCCACGTTACACTAGAACACACACTGGGAGCAAACAGCCTTTGCTGTCTGGGTGCACAGTGTCATCAGAACACACTCTTGAGTGACTACTGAGGTAGCTGTGAACAAGGGATGACTTCAGACTCTGAAATAAACTGCATATTAGTTCTTGGAAATAACAGAATGTAAATATAATAAACAGGAAATACTACTTTGGTAAGTTATAAAGTATTTTGTATAACACACAAGGAAAACCAAGTACTAGTCATACCACTTTTATTTACATTGTATCTGTTACATTGTTTATTCAGTATAGAAAAAATAGGAATACATTCATAGTATTCTTTTAACTTGGTAAGCCCATGTTGTCAAATATTGACTATTTTTATATTGGGTATCTTACCCAATTAAAAAAAAATAAGAGGGAGAATGGGCCTAGCCAACAAGTCTTAGGGCATGTTATTGATACAACAGTAAACCTTATTTCTCTCTTTAATCCTAATTCCCGAAGGACAAAACTACTGATTACTTTACTGGCTCAGGAATATGGTTTTAAAAGTAGAAATATTTCATTCTTTCCCCCAAGGAAATGTTTAAGATATACATATATATAAACACCCCAGTGTCCAAGGAGAAACTATTTATAAAAGGGTCATGCTGCAAGAAAACTCAAGTGGTCAATCTCACTGCACTGGACACATGTATCAGAACAGACCTAAGGGCTGAGGTGTTAACATAATTAGGCCAGAGGAAAAACCCACACTTAGAAGTCAGACTTCTAAATTTTTTTACAACTAGAATCAATGATTATCTCTTTTGGACATAATACTTCATTAAATGAGTCAAACTTAAAAATTAATACTACAAAATACAGTGTTTTCCATTACTTTTAGTTGTAATGTACACTATGTACAGAAAGTTGCATATCTTAAGCTGAATACAGATGAACAGCTTTTTAAAAACCAGAGTCTGGACTTATAAATAGTGCAGAAAATGCAAACGCCAGAAAAACGATGCCTCCTATGATTGTCACTGGAAAAAAGAAGAGAGAAGATGAGTGAGGCAACATGTCTTCCACCCTGACACTATGCTAACAAATCTGTCTCTCCACTCTCAAACGACTCAAACTGTCAGTGGCCCAGCATTCCTGACTCTCTCATTCTTACCTGACAAGCAGACCTTTCTTTGTACACTGCTTAGAGAAAGAATTAAGTGAAAGTGTTGGCAAGCAGCAGTTGTATAAATCAGGGGAGTAGGATGGCTTAGCATATAAAGGTGCTGTTGCCAAGCCTGACAGATGATGCCCACAAGCCTCAGACCCCAAACTGCCTTCAAAGGCTGAACATGGTGGAGCTGGGCAGTGGTGGCACATGCTTTTAATCCCAGCACTTGAGAAGCAGAGGTAGGCTGGTAAGCCAACCTCTGTGAGTTCAAGGCCAGCCTGGTCTACAAGAGCTAGTTCCAGGACAGCTAGGGTTGTTAGAGGGGAACCTTGTCTCAAAAAAACAACAATAAAAAGGTTGAAAATGGTCAAGTCTCACACAGGACCTACCTATCATTAACATACTTCAGGCCAGTGGGTTTTTCACTGGCTTAGAAGCTGAGTTTGGCCATGTTTTGATCAATTTGTAATTTAACTAATTTATATACATGGGAAAAGTCAGTTTGCAGATAACGTACACACTGGTCTAAGTGATGAGCATGAAAACCAGGTGGTCTCTAGAGAGATGAGCAAAGCTAGTATGCCATTTCTGTTATGTCTGATTTTCAAGCATTAGAACACGTTTGCATTTTAATTAAAGAGACCTTACCTGTTCTAACAGATATTTTTTGTGCTATCATCCTTCCTCCAATTACTGCCAATCCAGTGCATAAACAGTGTCCCACTGTTCCACCCACTGCTACACCATAGGGATCCTGGAAGCAGATGGAGCTAGTGTTAAATTTAAGTTGGAGATGCTGTTTGAGAAACATCAGTATTAAGTAGAACTGAAAATGGGTCATGAACCGCATAGCATCATAAACACTTATAAAAGTCCAGATATACTCGAACTTTATGAAACAAAAAATAGCTGTTTCAAGGAATGTGGATAATACAGCTAGATCTCAATACTGAAATCCTGTATGGTACAATATTCCTGTGCTTCCTGAGAGCAGAAATCCTGCTTAACCCTTGTGGCTTTAGCTCAAGGTAAGGAATAAGAGCTAGAAGGTATCAGATTTGGGGAGCAGTGAAAGCTTTCCAGAAAAGACAGCCCAGGAGACTAGGCAAGAACCCCATGTGTCTCTTGGGGAAGAAGAACAATAGAGCACTGGAGTAGAGTTTCGACAGTGGAGGAGGGAGGCCCTGAGGCGCATGTCAGGAGGGTGAGAGCCAGGGATGGAGTGTAGGTTGGCACCTGACTTCTGTTTCAGACGCCAAGGTTCAGTCCCTAGCTACAAGGGATCCCTATGAACACTTCCCTTGTCTTGAGACACTGACTGGTTTTAACACAAGTGGGCTTCTGCTTTCAAAGGAGACAACTAGAAGTGATCAAGACCAGGAGGCCTGACAACCCTGGTAAGAAGCAGTGCTGCCTGGACTGGGGTCGGAAATGAAGACGAGAAAAGCAGATAAGTGGAAAGGCACATGGCCATGAAGACAAGCAGGTTGACACATGAAGACAAGCAGGTTGACAAACTAGTAACTGAATAGACATGACAATACTGGGGTGATAAGAAGACTGGAGGATAGTTCAGCAGTTAATAGTATGTATTGTTCTTCTTGAGGACCAGAATTCTTTTCATCATGTTGGGTGGCACACTACTGCCTGTAACTCCATTTCTAGGGAATTCAGTGCCCTCTTCTGGCTTCTACAAGCACCCACATACACATTGTCATACACAGGCTCACAATACATTAAATGTTTTTAAAGGAGCAGAGGAATGAATTATGGGAGCTAGCAAGTGAAAAGTAGGGTATACTCAGCACACTTGTAATCTCAACTCTCAGGAGGCTCAGGTAAGAGCCTCTGGTTCAAGGTCAGCGTTGGTTAGCTAAAGCAAGTACAAAATGAGAACTGTCCTTTATAGAAAGGCCAAATTTGATAATAACATCACCTGAGGGAGCACATAAAAACTCATAGGAAAAAAGTATGGACAAGTTGACCATGATGTAATCAACAGGATGAAAACTACCCAGTAGTTGCCCTCTGTGATGTCCGATAAACTGGGAAGGCAACTTAAGGATGGTGAGTTTATTTGGGTTCCCAGCTCAAGAGAACAGTTCATCATGGGGGCAGTGGTCACTAGCATCCACAATTAGGAAGCAGTGATGAATGTTTGTGTTCAACTCACTTCCTCATTATACCACTGTCCAGGGATCCTAAGCCAGGGAATGGTGCCTCCACCCCCAAGTAGGATCTTCTACCCTAATCTAGTCAATATACTTCTCAGGTGACTCTAAGATCTCAAGGTGATAACAGATTAACCATCCCACCCTGTGAGGTGAACAGTTGGGTGGTAGTAGAGTTGTCCTCTTCACCAACCATAACCACGCTCTTCCAACTCTGGAAAGTAAGATGAGATATGCGACAGAAGGACCCCGAAGACAGTGGAGGGAGTAATGCAGAAAATGCTCTAAACACTCAGCTAGGAGAAAGGTGAGAAGGGGGCACCTGGGGTCCAAGACCGCATTGTGGTTGGTGGGGGTGAAGAAAGCTGACCAACAAATCAGCAGCCAGCTGCTGTGAGTGAGAAGGCAGCGTGTATAGAGTCAGGACTCAGACGGCCTGGGCATGGACCAGAGAATGCACTACTGAAAAAATGCTGTTAACCTGTATTAATGGATCCTTTAAGAGCCAAACCGCATGATTTATACAAAGACGGAGAGTACTGTTGACATGGGAGTGCTGCGTCAGGGGCTGCGAGACACCCTATGCGACCCACAAAGTAAGTAACTGCAGGTACCAGCTGACCCTGGCAGAGCTTCCACCACAGGCTCATTTTCAAGGCCCAATTCTGACATCCAAGAGGAGACAGGACATAGCCATTAAGGAGCATTTTAAAAGGTTGTTTTATGAGAATCAAATAACAAGAGTTCCTTTTTTATTTTTTTCCATCTCCAAATAAAGCATTCTTAGGCTTCTTTCCGTGTAATCTCAGTCCTGGCCTGGAAATGCTTTCTATTTTAAGCTGGAGGACTATGGTAAGGAACATTTTTGGTTTTTTGAGACAGGTTTGTGTTACAGCTCTGGCTGTCTTGGACTTTTCTTTGTAGAACTGGCTGGCCTTGAACCACCAAGATTCCTGCCTCTGCCTCCTGAGTGCTGGGATTAAAGGTGTGTGCCCCTAGGAACATGATCTTTCAGAGAGACATTTCCCAGGATTTAAATGTTTCAGTGTAAAATAATGTAACTGATACAAACTTAAGATCAAGAGCATGCAGCTCCCCAGGACATCAGCATCTGTCAACAGAAACTGGCATCTCATAGAAGATGATATCAAACACCCTCCCTCCCCGCCAGTAGCAAACTGATAGGTCTTTAAAATATGTGTGCTCAGAGGCACCCACAGAACACAGGCTGACTTCTGGTCCCAACTCAAGTCACCCCACCTCGCAAGTCGTCGGAAGGTGTCTTCTAATTACACTGCAGTCATCAGCATGCTCTGCAGAAACAGTCTGCAGCATCCCAAGATGAGCACGGCGAGCATTCTGTGTCCTTAGATCCTATCTGTTCCTTCTCTATTTCAAAAGTAACCCTCCTTGGGTCAGTGTAAACTCACAGGCAAATGTGCTTCAGAAAATTTCTCTGAGTTATTAAAGTGATGTTGAAAAATATTAATCAAAGAGCTGCTCAAAATTTATAAAGAAGTAAGCGAGTTCCCCTCTGTTACATCAATTTTTGCTATTAAAAATTTTGTTGTTTTAAGACAGTCTCAATATGTAGCCCAGGCTAACCTGAATTCAAGATCATTACCAGACTCCCCAGTGCTGGGATTACAAGCAAGTGATATACTAATTGATATTCTCAATGAGCATACAGAGAAGACATGAGAGGAGAGCCAGGCAACAAAGACAACTGCCACAGCTTTATTTTGGCAAAACACAGGGAACAGACCCAGCAAGATAAAAAGAAAAGAACAATTAAGAAGTATAGACATGGAGAAAGTTTGGAAGGCTAATTCCAGGTCATAAAATGAACAGATGTGTCAAACTTTCAGCGTGGGTAGTCAGCTTGTGGCCTGCTTGCCCACTGGTGTGGAGCAATGTGAACTATGGTCTTGATATAGAAGCAATCAAATACTACTCACCTCTCTAGCTGCCAGAACAATGGTAGTGAGTTGAGAGCGATCTCCCCATTCTGCCAAGAATGTTAAAGTGAGAGCTTGAACAAAAATGGGTGAAATAAAATGCAACCACTTTTTCTGAGGTATTGTTGTGCTTGTACCAGTTTCAACATCTGGTCCATTTAAGAGTTTGGTTCGCTGGAACTGAAACAAATAAAAATTACCATTAACCCTAGTAAGTATATCCAAATAATATAAAGTCACTCAATCCTTTCAATGCATTTAATTGCATGGCACATTCACTAAAGAAAATATACTCTGCATCCTGACTGCCCCTTAGCCACCACCCTCACACAGTATCAATTTTCCCACTCCAACAAAACCAAACAGTATGCAGATGCGTAAGAAACACGTAGAACTAACAGTTCCAGAACTCAGACACTGGCCATCAGCCTAAAACATTTTCCTCCCTGCCACATTCACAGTAACCAAAAGCACATCAGAGCCAAGTTCTAGGAGTCAAAACTAACCAAGTTGACCCACACATAAAGCAGGGTTGTGTCCCTGAGTGCCTTTGGCATGTACCAGTGACAACTTACTTCTTCATCCTTCTTCTTTAACTCTGCCTGAACTTCTTCCAGTTCCTCCTGACCCTCATCTGGGCTCATCTTCAAACCTTCCCGAAGCATTCTAATGCCAAAAATGGCAAAGAGTGCAGTTGAAACATAGTAGGTATACACCCTGGGGATGACCGTTGTGGCATAGCCGAACAAAACTGTAAGGAAATGCCAACAGTGTTAGGTGTCTTCCACAGCAGGTGAACTCAGGAAATTGAAACGTGCTTTGTTGAAGGAGAGCTGGTTCATATTAGACACATCCGCTATGTAACGACCTAAAATACTTCTGCTTCTTTCTTTCCATAACTGAGTTTTCCACAATGCCCATGCCTGCACAGGGACCTTTAAGATGCTGACCTCTTCTCCATTAATGCTCAGCTAGAGCTGGGCTTCCCACTTACATTTGTGCTAGGCATAATACTTGACCAGGTGAACTGATGTCCTCTAAGAATTTCAAGGTTTTCTAAACTGGAAGCCACAAACCACTCTATAAATAGATGTCTCTTTGTCACGGATCTTTAAAAGATCAAGAATCATGACAATTCTCTTATAGCACAATTCACACTGTTCCTTTTCAACTACGTAAATTTAGCATATCTTATGAAATACTAAAAATTCCTTATAGGTATGTATAGACATACCAATATGGCATATATTTTCTATCCTTTGCCTACTGAAAGGGCCAAGAAACAGACATTTTGGTAACAAAGCATTCTTGGGGAATGTCTGAGAAGAGGCTGACCAAGCACAGGATGTACCTGTTATTCCTAGAAGGTAAGAAAGGACAAGAACCTGCCACAGGACAGGACAAAGACAGCAGCTAGACAGGTTCCCACAGGCCAGCCTGGACAATGTGGTCAATAAACACCTGAAGAAAGTGCATGAGCATAAGAGTGGGAGGAAGGAGTGTGCAAGGCCAGAGCTCACTCGTGTAGAACAGAAGCCAGAGTTAGGAAGCTACCATTTTGAAAGCATTAAGGGAAAACATGCAAGAATTATACTACATCTCTGGGCAAACGTCAGTAAAGAACAAGTTATAAACTGTGTTACAGTGTGTCGCCACAGGCTGGATATTAGCTCCAAGAGAAGACTAAGAAAGAACTGGACAAATCAAACTACAATGTCACTGAGGAAAAAAATGGATGCCATGTGCTTCCATGAGATATTCTTCTGAGGACACAATGACACTTGTGAGCTCTTGGCTAAGAAGATGAACTTAAGTTTAAGCATGTGGAAACATCCCCCATGAAAGAGGAAAAACCATAGGGTGTGGGCTTCCCCCACCACTGCCCTGTGTTCCCAACAGCAATTGGGAGAGAGGAACCTGCACCTTGCCTGTGCAAAACAGTAGGGTTGGCCCTGGCGATATGTGTGAAGAGGACCTGAATCTGAGGCAGCACTGGCCCTGCTCCTTGCTGCAGGCTGCACTGGGTGAGCTAGCCCAGACAGTCCTGGACAGATCATATGGACAGTGGCAGATTGGCTAGGCTGACCAACCCAGCTATCAGCCCAGGTCCAGAACCAGGGTTAGGGGTGTTGGCTCACCCCAACATCCACTTCATCTATGAATCATTGGAACATGTGGAGGGGACAACTACAGATCCAAAACAGCAGGATCTCCATGACACAGGACAACAGAATATCCAAGAGGAGCCCCAGTGAGAGCCCAGCAGTGTAGCAGAAGCCAGAGGCCTTGAGTCAGATCAATGACTCGTGGCAATAAACACTTGCAAGTAAAGATGTATGAACTAAAGGGTAAACTGCGTGACTCAGCGGGCCACACAACAGCTTCCACGGCAAGATTCTTATTCTTATTCTTTTTTTTTTTAAAAAAAAAAATTTGTTTGGTTTTTTATTTTCCTTTTAAATTTGGTTTTGTTTTGGGGGGAGACTGCAAGGGCAGAGAGTGGATGCAACAGGACAGGGAGATACGTGGGATCAGAATGCATGATGTGAAGTTCACAAAAAAAAAATCAATAAAAGTTAAAAAAAAAGTACTATGTATAGTGTGTCTAAATACATTTTATTCGCCTAAAGATACAGAAAGTATATAAACATGACCAGATTACTTATACAGATTGGCCACAAACGCTAAAGCAAAGGGGTAAGAAGATGCTAACAGCCAGTGCACCTGAGCAAGAGTTCTCTACACCCTCTTGTCTGTGCAGCTTTACACATTTAAAGTTACTTCCATCAAGATCTGATTCATCTTGGTAGAGCATTTACTGTGCAAGCATGAGGACCTGAGTTCGAATCCCCAGAACCCACATAGAGCCAGACACAGCTGCATACATCTGTCATCTCAGTGCTCACATGGGGCAACGGGAAATGGGAGTCAGAAGCAGGAGAAGCTCCAGGAGCTCATGGGCCAGCTAGGCTCAGATACACAGCTGTGAATGAGACCTGTCTCAAGACAGGTGAGGACCAGAACCACTCTAGATTGTTCCCTTACCTCCATACATGTACTGTGCAGATATCCACACTCACACAAGCACACGCATACAAGACAGAATAGGAAAATAAAACTACTTCCATAAAAAAAAAATTAAGTTTTGAAATAAAATGTAGAAGACCCTTTGAAATCTCCCAAACTTAATTCTTCTTTTCTCCCCAGACACAACATTCTCAACTCCAGTGAGGGCTTGGAGACCCACATCCGTCCAAGGCCTATACACTGTCTTCTGGAGGCCCAGAACTCAGAAGCATGTACACAGCACTATAGGGTGCTTTCTGCCCTGTAGTCAAGTTAACAGCAGTTTCAGAACAACTGTGTTACCACACCAGAAGTCTGAAGATGAAGGCTTTCAGTTATTAGAAGAGTCTGCTGAGGAAGCGACACAGAAAGACACTTCCCACAAACTTCCAACTCTTTCCATGTCTCCTCCACAGCACATAGGAAATGAACAGCATTTAAGATGCCACTGGGTGATCTCTTTGGTTATTTATCTATGTACTTGTTTGATGAGTGTCTGGCCTGCATGCACAGCTGGCACCTGAGGTGGTCAGCAGAGGGTACTGGTGGGCGCCCTGGAACTGTAGTCAGGATAGCAGTGAGGAGGCTCTAGGTGCTGGGAGCCAAGCCTGGGTCTCTGCAAGGGCAACCAGAGCTCTCAACTGCGACTTTCTCTCCAGTCTCAGGTTTTATTACTTTAATTTTTTATATGGTTAATATTTTTGGTGTGTGTATATATATGAGTATAGGGACTCTCTCACTGACCCTGGGGCTCAACAGTTTCAGCTGTCCAGTGAGCAGCACTGTCTCTACTCCACAAAGCTTGGGTTACAGGCACAGGCAGGCAGACATACCTGGCTTTTTATGTTAGGAATTAAAACTTAGGTCCTCATGCTTACAGAGCAAGTGCTCAGACACTGAGAGCAACAATAAACAACTGGGACCTCAGGAAACTGAGAAGTTCCTGTAAAGCAAACGACACAGTAAAACAAGAAGGCAGCCTACTGAATGGGAATGGTAAAAAATCTTTATCAACCCCACATCAGACAGAGGACTGATCTCCAAAACACATAAAGAACTTAAGAAATTAGACATCAAATTCCAAATAATCCAATTTAAAAAACGGGATATAGAACTAAACAGAGAATTCTTCACAGAAGAATCTCAAATGGCCAGAAGACACTGAAAAATGTTCAACATCCTTAGCCATAATGGAAATGCAATTAAATAACTCTGAGATACTATTTTAAATCTGTCAGAATGGCTAAGATCAAAAACACCAATAACAGCTTATGCTGGAGAAGATGTGGAGTAAGAAGAACACTCATCCATTGCTGGTGGGAATGCATACTTGTACAACCGCTGTGGATATAAGTATGCCAGTTTCCCAGAAAATTGAGAAATCAACCTACCTCAGGACCCAGCAATACCACTCTTGGGCATATACCCAAAGGATGCTCAATCATACTGTAAGGACATTTGTTCAACTATGTTCATAGCAGTATTATTGTAATAGCAGAACCTGGAAACAACCTAGATGCCCCTCAACTGAAGAATGGATAGAGAAAATGTGGTACATTTACACAATGGGGTACTACTACTCAGTAGTAAAAAACAATGAAATACTGAAACTTGCATGAAAATATATGGAAGTAGAAAAAAAATCTTCCTGAATGAAGTAACCCAGACCCAGAAAGATGAACATGGTATGTACTCACTCATAAGTGGATCCTAGCTGTAAAGCAAAAGATAACCAGTCTATAGTCCGTGACCCTAGAGAAGCTAAGTAACAAGGTGAACCTTAAGAAAAACATACATCGATCCACCTGGAAAGGAGAAATAGAGAAGATCACCTGACAAAATTGGGAGCATAGGGGTGGGAGAAGGAAGGGCAGAAGGGAAAGAGAAAAGGAGAAGGGGTGAAGTGGAGGGAGAAGGAGAACTTGAGGGAATGGGACAGTCGAGGAAGGACAGAAATGAGAGCAAGGAAAGAGATATTTTGATTGAGGGAGCCATTATGGGGATAGCAAGAAACCTGGCTCTAGAGAAATTCCCAGGAATCCACAAGGACAGCCCTCGTTCTACATTTTAAGAAATTAGTTTCATAACGGTAAGAGGCAAATGGCAAAGCCCTCCAAATAAACTAACTTATCACTATAGAATAGAAACCACAAGGTGGGTAGAAACTATTATCTGTACTTCACAGAGAGGAAGCTAAAATCCAGGGGTCAATTAACTTAATTCACTAGGATATGCCATGGGAAGTCAGTCTCAAACCAAGCTGTGGCTCAAAGGGAAACACCGTCATCTAACACACTGTGGTGGTCTGAGGTAGCTCTCACATAGCAACTAAATAAAGCTCAGTTATTTGAGTGTTAAACTGACTTTCCTGTGGTCTAACATCTTAAAATTAGAGCCTGTAAAGCAGTAAACTGAACCGTAACATAAAAAGGTTAAAGAATGCTTCATTTCACATAAGCAGGGTAAGAAGGAGCTTAATAAAGATAAATGAAGGCTGCTCCTCAGTGCTACTGCCCAGTGTGCCTCAGGAAGTAAGCACACAGTTTTCTATGGCCTCTTGAACCCCACTTCTAAAACTGCAAATATAAATGAACTTATGTGGACAGAAGAAAAAGAAAAAAAACTGAACTAGAATCAAATTAAAAACCTAAGAATTAAAGCTAGAGATGGCTCAGTGGTCAGCAGTGCTTGTTGCTCTTGCAGAGACCCAGGTTTGGCTCCTCACACCCACACAATGGCTCACTACCATCTGAGAGTCTCTTTCTGAAGTCTGCAGGGACCAAGCACACACATGGTGCAAAACACATGCAAACAAAACACTCATACACACAGAATAAATCAATTTAAAAAATAAGTAAAAATTGCAAGGCTGTGGTGGCACACCTTTAATCCCAGCACCTGAGAGGCAGAGACAGGCAGATCTCTATGAATCAAGGCCAACCTGAACTACAGAGCAAGCTCCAGGACAGTTAGAGCTGTTACAGAGAAAACCCATTTCGAAAATAAATGAATGAATGAATAAATAAAAATTAAGGGTAAAAGCCACCAGTGAATAAATGACAGGAGTATGTACCTTGGCTCTGAATAGCTAAAACTTCCATTTAAGAACTAAAATCTGGGTTTCAATAATGTGTATCCTGAAACCATTTGCTGTTTACTAAAGTCTGGGGATAAGCAGATTTCAATGAAACTGGGTGATATGATTCAAGACACGCATCATGTTCCCTGGGAAAGCACCCTTACCCGACAAGCATGTCATCAAGGCCAAGGCAAGCATGGCACCAGCCAGCACAGTCAGCCGGTTATAACGCATCGCCATGATGGCTGCTATGAAAAATGTCTTGTCGCCGAGTTCAGACACTATGATGACTGATATGGCAGCGACAAACGCATGGATAAATCCCAGATTCGTCTGGGTAGCTGCATCTTCTCTGTTGGCATGAACTGGGGCAGCTGGTGTAAGTCCTTTCTGAAAATTAAAGAAAAAAAAAACAAACAAGAAAATGTTTAAGTCATTTAACTGACATTCTCTTAAATGAGAAGAGTTATTTTTTGTCATAGCCATTCCACTAATTTATTGCTTTAAAATTCTGAATGTCATTAGTAATAGCAGTAGCCCATAATTCAGCTCTCTATACAGATCAGTAAGAGTATGTTATGTCTTGACACCATAATTACCTTATTTTCTAAGTATGTATTAGAGTCAACTCTCTGCTGTCTCATTCAAGTTCTCACTAGCAATTTGGGTGAAGACTCAGGTGTTTATCAAACATTCACTGACATGAGGCTGACAAGACATATCACTGACACTGTAAAGGCCTACACAGGATACAGCAAGCTCTCGAGGCTACAGCCAGAGCTGGCTGCAGCTAAGACAAGGTTTAATATAGCTGGATGTGCAGATGGTTCTGTGATAAACTCTAAAAATATCCTGGAAGGTTATCTGATAAAAAAAAAAAAAAACAACAAAGCAGTCTTGGTGGATAACAACATAACAGTATGACAAATTCCATTGGCCTTCCCCGAAGTTGGCTAGAAAGTTCCAAAGTCCTGCCCTTTAAGAAGGCACTGACCTCTGAAGGTCATCAGAAATGGAGAGATTCGAAATCCAGGGCCTAGCAAGCAAGTAGAGGCAAACTCTGCCTGTTCACAGTTTTAAGAGATCATAAAAACTAAAAGGAAGGGAGGTGGAAGAGAGGAAGGAAAAAAGGAAGGGGGGGTGAGAAGAGGACCTGTAAAGGGTGATTACAGAGCAGGGATTTCACGTGGTCAGCACAGATGTGAAATCTTATACAGGTAGTTCCTGGCTCACTGCTGAGACGCTAAGGTAATCAGATGGACACCAGGGAGGACAGTGTGTCTCGGTTTCAGTAACTGGGGAAGTTTTCATGTGGCTTTAGCTATGCTATATGTAACATTTTCCACTGTTACTGTGTACACTATTCCTTAATGAATGACATAAACTTGACTTCAACTGCTACAGGGAACATCAGAACTGTAAGAGTGGCCCAGACTAGGGGAGACCTCTGAGCCAGAACAAGGAAATTCTGTGGTCCCCGCAGCAGCAAGCACCACTGTACAGGTTCTCTCCTTCAGCACCTTAGTTCTAGCTACACTCCTTTAAAATACTCTTATACCTGGCCCAATAAGTAGTCTGTGAGCATGAAGCATTCCAGAAGACACAGGCACTTCAACTAAGACGTCCCAAACACCTAACTTTTCTGCTGGAACCTCACCCTCCTCCCCACACTACCCTCTTTCCTATGAGACAGGGTCTGGTTACCATGCTAAGGCTGGCCGGGAAGTCACCATCTTGTTGCGTTGTCATCCTCCTAAGTCCTGGGGTTAATTACAAGCGCCAACCACCACACATAGCTAGATTTTTTTTTATATGAAAAGACTTCACAAAATGTCAGGATCTTAAGTCCAAAAAAAATTTCAGGAGTAATATACAGCACTTAAGATCATTTGGCTCTAAAGCTCAAAAAAGAAAATTTTGCATTTTAAATCAAATCACAGTAGAGATAAACGCTTCATATTTTCATGGCTTTCTAAGACTTAAATCCTTGGCCAAGTTATTTAGTCTGTTTTTCTATGAAATAAAGAATCAAATTTGCCTAAAGAATACACTAAAGGGAAGGAGCTGGCTAGAGAGATGGCTCAATACTCTTCAAGAGGACTCAAGTTTGGTCCTCAACATCTACACAAGGCATCTCAAATCAACTCTAAGGGATCAGACACCCTCTTCCGGCTTCCACAGGCACGAATGGGGCATACATTCTCTCATATTCTCTCTCTTTCTTTCTCTCTCTAAAAAAATACTTTTAAGGGCGAGTCCAGCAGATGGCTTACTGAGTAAAGGTCCTTGTGGTCAACCTGATCACCTAAGTTTGACGCCCAAGACTCATAGTGGAAGGAGAGAACCAACTCTTCCAAGCTACCTTCTGACCTCTATGCATATGTGCATGTCCACACACACAAAGATGTACATAAGTATACACATACATAGATGTATAAAAATAATAAATAAAAATATTAAAATGAAACAAAGTAAAACAAACACAATCCTCCATATTCTCAAAACTTGTCTACACAGAAGACTAAAGAAGACTAAAACTAAAAGTTTATTAAGTCAGTCCTGGACGGCCAAAACTGAGGATAAGGATGTTGTGAAGACAACGAGATTTTTAAAAATGAAGTATTGCAGATGTCCCATTTGGGGCGGGACCACCAAGTCACTTATTCTCTGCACTCTGACCAGTTCAGGTACCTGCAATGGTCTCTGTCTTACGGAAAGGGCTCTTTGCTGAGGGTCAAGCTGCACTGACTTATGGATGGCAGGTTAGTATTCAGAACTGCAGACAAGAACATTAAGTGGACTCAATAGGTTCAGACAGGACTGGGAGGAATGAGCTTCCTCCTTCCTAAAATTCTCCTGTTCTCAATGCCCGCCTCTACTTCTTGTCTGGCCAATCAGCATTTATTTAAAACATGACTGACAGAATGCAGACAATGCTCCTGCACCATAGTGATTTCCGTTCAGCTGGCCAGAATGGGCCAACGAGTCTTGGAGAACTGAGAAGAGAAAGAGTGAAGGAAAAGGGAAGAGGCGGTGGTAGGGGGTTCTCTGCAGTAGCCTGTGACCCACCTCCGTTTTTTATCTTATGCTCTGTTCTTAGTTTTAAAATAAACTTAAAAGAAATCAGTATCCAACTGTCAAGAGTATTTCAGGCCTAGAATGTAAACCCGTACCTGTATCTATTTAATATCCCTCAGCTAACCACACCAGCTCCCAATATAAACCTTTCTCCTAGAATGTAAACCCTTACCTGTATCTATTTAATATCCCTCAGCTAACCACACCAGCTCCCAATATAAACCTTTCTCCTAGAATGTAAACCCTTACCTATATCTATTTAATATCCCTCAGCTAACCACACCAGCTCCCAATATAAACCTTTCTCCTAGAATGTAAACCCTTACCTGTATCTATTTAATATCCCTCAACTAACCACACCAGCTCCCAATATAAACCTTTCTCCCAAAGAAGTCAGAATAGCAGTGCTAAATGCAAAACATCACAAAAAATTAAAAAAATTAGCTTCATAATGTACTTTTATATTTTCTGGTTTAAATTACCCATTATACAAAGTAAAAACAGGTAAAATTATTTGAGAGATCAATTTAACTCAATGCATCCAATCACCATTAACTTATAAGAAATATTTTTAAATTGCCATAAAATATTCTAACATTTTTTCATACTACTTTTAAAGTGGTATACATATGCTGATTTCGTCCTCTTGGGTCAGCCATGGGCAGTAAATCTTGAGAACTCTGCTAACCACAGCCTCAGTCAGTCAGACTGCCTTTCCCAGTGCTCTTCATTTTGCCCCATTCGTCCAGGCTCCTCAAACCCAGCTCAAGAAAACGTCTTGAGCAAGCTTTATTGGGTCTCTAGCCCTTTGCATCCCAGGCCCCTGAAATCCAGCCATATTCATACAATGACAATATACCACAGAAGGTGAGGCCACAAAGGTGAGGCCAGGAACCCTGGGAAGCTGACGTTTCTGTGGTGGAAACACATTACTAATGACGTGTCCAATCAAACCTACGAGAGCTACATAACATATACTGGCTGGCAAGATGGATCAGCAGTAAGAGCACTTACTTCCAAACCTACCAACCTGAGTTCCATCCCCAGGACCCTCATGAGAAGAACTACTTCAACAAGTTGTCCTTTGACCTCCACAAGTGTGATGTGGTCCACAGATGCCCACACACATTCGCATAAACAAACACAGATAGTTGTAAAATTCAAGATCATGAATAAGAATGTTCTATAAATACTAATATTGAAAAAACTATTAAGATACTTCTGATGAAATCTGTATTACATATGAAGGTAACACATACAGGGAGAAAGGGAGTTATGTACATGACTGTAAATGCATCCCAGATCTCAAGAAACAGTGGGCATTTCCAGAGATGGAAATCAGAACCAGAATGGGAGAGCCACTTTTCCTTTAAGAGCCAAGTATTTCACAGCTTTGTGGGCTGGACAGTTATGTGGTAATTACTCAACTCTGCTGCTGTAGCTCCAGAGCAGCTGTAAAATACTTTAAGAAATGAAACAGCATGGCTGTTCCAACAGAACTTCACTCAGAGAAACCAGCCAGTCTGCAGGAATCCACCGTTAGAGTATGAGAAGGCGAGGCGACACTGTGCCCCACACAGCCTTCCATACCTCTGGATTTCTGCCATCATGACCCAGGTTTGCATCACTGCAAAGACAGTGAAACATGTATTTTTAACTGTGTGTGCATCCGTGTGTGTGCGAGTGTGTGCACACATGTGAGGGCAGGAACCCACAGAATCTAGACAAGGGAGTCGGATCCCTTGAGACTGAACTCACAAGCAGCTTTGAACCACCCATTATGGGTGCTGGGAACCAAACCTGAGTCCTCACAAGGGCAGTACCTTCTCTCAACAGCTGAGTCCCGCCTCCAGTCCCTCCAAAGACCGGTTCCCCCAACCTACTACTGCAGCAGGGCCTCAGTTCCTTGTGAACTGAGGCAGGCCTTACGCAGATCCCACCAGAAAGGACATACTCTGCACTTATTCACCCACAGGTCAGGGAGCTCGCAGCTGTGGAACAACCTTTGACCAACAAGTGGAGTATGGGTTCAGAGATCTTCCTCAAGTCCCACAGGATCTAGGACTAGCCTCCTGGAATGGCTGACTGCAAAGTACAGCAGTGTGTGCATTCTGCCCGATCCTGCCCAATGGTGAGAAAGAATAAAGCTTGTTCTAGGACCCGAGAGGAAACCACTGGATAAATACCTGCAGTCTGAAAAAACCTGCACCCCAAAAGAAAAGTCTTCATGACAATGATAATCCAACTCAGAGCCAAGAGGAAAGTTCCTAAAAAAATTTGAATGTAAGACAAACATGAATGAAGCACTGTGGGTAATAATCAGGGCGGGGTAGGGGGAATATCTGCTATCAAAGGCAAACTGCCTAAGAGGAATGGTGAAATTAATCAGAGAAAGAACACTATAGGTTTTAGGAAGAGTAGGA